TGAATCTCGACCTTCTCACTCTTGCTATATAGGTTTGGTTATACCTCTAGAAAATCACTTCCCCTCCAGCATGTTATAATTGTCATTCATCTAGATTCGTTTTGTTTTAATTTTTGAAAATCAAATTATTGAAGGGAATAGGTATTCTTACCCTCTCTGTTTTATTATTTGGGAAGTCAACCTTCCACTGTCTTTCCTTAAGTCTACGCCTATTAGTGTTACCCAAAATCTGTCTTGGTTTTGTACTTTACAAGACCAAGACCTAGACTGGTGAAAAAAAAATTCGTTTTTGTGAATAAAAATGAAGGAAAAATAGTTACTAATACTTGACAAGTTTAGTTACTATATGTAAAGAATTTGTGTAAACAAAATACTTTTGCATTTAACTTTTCCAATTTTTTATTTAGGTTTAGTTAGGTTTCTCCTATCTGAAAAATTACAGTAATATCTCTATAGTAATAAGATAATAGACTGTTGCGAGACTCTTGCGCAATACCAAGACCACGATCAAGACTGGTGCGCAAGACCAAGACTCGTCATGATCTTGGATTTGGGCAATACTAACGCCTGCGCTATTGCCCATACTTTACGCATTGTTATTTCAAGTTATTAGCTAAATATGGGACTTTTTATTATTAAAAAGTAAAATAACTAAATTTTTTTTTAAATTTGTAATCACCTCTACCATAGAGGGTCATTGGCGGTTTTTTATATTTTATTGTAGTATTAAGTTTCTATTAAACATCGGAATAGAGTGGTCATTCCATCCTCGTTGTCTCTTAATATTTCCTTCATTGTTATCGATAATCTCGATTTTTTTTTTTTAACTCATGATACTCTAATAATAGATGTTTTACCAACTGCTGTTTACTGTCACACTTTTGGCCAGTAGATGCTTTTAGTACCCTATGAAAGTAACCGTGAGTAAACAGGTAGTGACCAATTCGTATTCGGCAGAATATGACTTCCTCTTTTCTGGATTTTCTTGTACTTGTAGCCCATTTGTCGCACTCTGTTTTTATTTCTAATAGTTTGGACTATTTAGTTTTACATTTTTTTTCCCAATCTTTCAACAACCCAGTCTTCCACTGTGGTTGAGTTTGAAATTATTGAAGGTACCTCTTTTATTGAAATTATAGTAGGTCCCTTCCTTGCTGAATTAGCCGCTTGGTCTGATACTTCATTGCTTAAGATAACACTATGAGATGGAACCAAGACAAATAATACACTTCCCCTTCTCTTTTTCAATCCCCACCTTCAATTCCACAATTCAATGTATCTCTTAATAGGAAATTGCTAGGACATAGGTTATGAATTGCTGCTATTACGCATATGGATGCTATCATCCATTTATTGTCATTGGAATTTGAAATCCAATGGAGTGCCTTGATGATTGCAGTAGCTTCTCCAGTAAATATGGAGCTCTCTCCAGGTAAGCTTAACAGGAGTTGGTGCTGGTTTTCATTAATATATACAGCGCAGCCAATACTATTTTCCATTTTGGAGGCATCCGTATATATGGCATTAAAATCTTTGTACTTCTCCAGTAATTCGAGAAAATAGTTTTGGATATTTAGAGGGTACTGTAAATAAAATTAAAATTTCTGAAATTAGCTTTATTTATTTGCGTAATTATAAGTTTGTTCGCCGAACGATTATAAGAACATTTCCGACATTATTAGACCAGACGAGGGGTTGCGTGTTGCCAAAGGAAAGCCAGCTCATGTCTATTCAGGTTGGATAAACAGAGGCTAAGGAAGGTGGCAACAAGAGCCCAAGTACTAACTGTTATAATTGGCTTAAGATATAAAGGAAAAGGGAACTTGTAGCGGGAGGTGACAGTTGTGTTGAAGTTTGCAGTAAATATTGGAGCGGCGGTCGGTTCTGTATACTGTTCTACCCTTCTACCCTGCGCGAGGTGTCAGGCCAAACTTCCCTCCGAGGCTCAATAATTCAAGACCTCGTCCCACCACCACCACCGATATAATTATTTATCTGCCCTCTTTTCGGGTCCATTACCATCCTCATTTAGTTAATCATTAACATCAAAACGTAATATAGAAGAGGTTGCCATTACCTCTCTCCTACATAAAATCAAAACTTACAAGAATATCACGGGTAGGTATACATGGTGTCCTGTAAGTAGAGGATAATTTAAATAATAATCATAACAGACCTTAACAGCTACAAAAAAAGTTATGTAAACTTTGGTCACATTTTCGGCAAAAAAGGAAATTTAAGGTTTGTATTTTTTTAGTTGCCATGTTTTTTGTTCAATCGTTAGCGTTAACTAAAAATATTAGTCCGTGGCACAGACCCCTTTTTATCGAATTATTAACATCCGCCTGAAACTTCGTAAATAGTTTCATCTCATCGTAACCTACAATTTTATTTAAGAAAACTCTTGTGGAATTGGGGTGTTTTCAATCTGGAGGAGAACAATTTTGTTTATTTAATTAGGTACTAGAAACTCGTAAATACACATTTGCTTTCTTAAATAAAATAGTTGTAGGTTACGATGAGATGAAACTATTTACGAAGTTTCAGGCAGATGTTAATAATTCAATAAAAAGAGGTCTGTACCACGGATTATATATTTAATTTTAGTAATTAACAATTGCTTCTCAGTAAACTAGACAAAATTAACTTCAAATGAAAGTAAAAATGTAGTTAAAGCAATTATTTTTATTATAATATATCTCAATTCATAGAAAAATAAGAAATAAAAGCAATGCTTTATTGTAGTCAATAGCGGATCCAGGATTTAATTTTTAGGGAACTTCAGCCCGAAAATTTATATTTTTCATATATATATATATAACGATAGTTACTTTGAAAAAAATAAAAGAAAGAAACTAACTACTTATATGAAATGGCGTTGAAGTGATTCTTGAAGTCCTATGTAATTACACGAACAATAATACTTTAGGAGACTTTGTTTTTGTTCTTCCCTACCTCGCCTTTTAGGCTATACGGGGTTTTCCCGGGCCAGAGGCGAAGGCGAGGAATTTCAAATCCCCTCCTGCACCGGGACGCGAACTGGTACTTTTTTATCTCTCATAACTTCGGTTATCTGGTTTCGGCCACCCCACCAACAGTACTTAAAGCGATAATTTTTAAATTTTTTGTTTCCATAAAACATGGTTATATTTTACCAATTCGGGGAGGTGGGATTTCAGCCTGAAAGTACCTTCCCCTCGTAGATCCACCTGTGATTGTGTTAATTTTTGCTGGAAACACATATAATTTTAATTCATGAAGTCAATCTCAACTTTCTCCAAAAGAAATCTTAACTTAATTAATATATACTTTAAAGTTTATTAAACGAGAAAGTTTTTCTAAAAGTGATGTATCGGTAATATAAATATATGTCGGTAATATAAATCACAAAAAAAAAAGTCATTCGTTTCTCAGATAGTTTTAAGATAGTAATTCATTAGAATATGTAATAAACTTTTTTTTATAAGAAGTAAGTCTAATAATTGTTGGAAAGTTCACCAGTATGGAGGACTACACTGAAGGGAAGAGACAATGTTGCAACTTGTACAGACAGGTAGAATCCTAATTTCACAATACTGGGTTTATATGAAAGTAAAATTATTTAATTGTTTACATTCAATTTATAATTATTCATAATATCGATAACCATGCCAAAAAAGCCTATTAAGTGTAAGCAAAATTTTATTTGAAAACGCGGTTTTGTGCTTTTCAGGTCAATAAAATTTGTGCTTGGCTTTATGCACTCCGAAAAAATAAACAAAAAACGTTATTAATTATGTTATATATTTCTTTTAAGCATGCAATAACAATTTAATATAAAAATCTAGTTCATAAAAAACAAAAATACTCGGTTTATTTCTGCCAATGAATAATTTTAGTTTTTTCAACATTGTTCTCAATATACTGATTTATATTTGTTTTTAAGTAAATAATTATTTTATTTTATTTAATAAATAAATATTTATCTTCATATATCCTAGTGATTATATTAATAATTGATTAATTTAAGCAATAGTATTGTATATTAGAAAGAGTTAAATAAGAGGTAACTGATTTTTCAAGGCTGTAAAAAGCAAGATTGAAAATTCTGGAGACAAAAAATGAAAATCATTTCTTGAAGAAACCAATATAAATAGATAAAAATTTCCAATAAAATAATATTTTATTATTCATTCATTTTAGATTTTATTTCACAACACCAAAACAGAAATATTTCTAATCTATACAAGCTCCAGTATATGAAGTTGCTGTTTAGCTCTTTTTCATATTTTAATTTTAATTTATCAACAGAAGAAAAAATTATCACTTTGAATGTTAAAGGATTTATTAAAAAATGATACCTACGTTAGTACTTTCGGGGACAAATTAATCCATTTTTAAAAGAAAGGAAGGGTATCTTGAAATTTATATCAAAAAGCTAAAGAAATATCTTGCACATTTCCATGTTAGTGGCCTAGGCCTGATATGAGCTCATATCATATACAAACATTTATCGTTTTTAAAAAGCGAAGGAAAAACCAATTTTTGTAACGTATGTAGCTTCCATTTATTTAAACCAAACTTGAACAATACTTTTAAATTAAATAACCAGAAACAGTTCGACTTGAACCTATAAAACAAAAATTGGTTTTTTCCCTTAATTCTGAAAATGACAGATGTTCGTCCATCCGTTTTTGATATGAAGCCACTTATATGTTGAAACATTGTTGACTTTCTTTATTTTTTTCCACTTGCCTCGATCCACTCCTAGTTATACCTTGGTGACTTTAACCTGTTAAGGCTTCAGTAAGCTCAAAACTTTATGAACCCTTGGATACCAAAATCAATTAAAATTTAAATTAACATTGAACATTAAGAGAATTAAAACATTTACTGCAATCATTAGGTTTTTTAAATTTTCTTAGAAATAATTCTTCAAGTTTGCAAACAAATGATACTCTTTAAATTAATAGTTTAATATTAATCATTTTGCAGCTCTGGACACAACAACAGCACTGGCCATGGTACAAATCACTGCAATAGTTGTTGTAATGGCTACTCTGTTCACAGGCGGCATTTTGAGTAGGCTACTAAGTTCAACAATGCGAGAACCTAGCATCCCAAAACATAGCCTATGGCTGCAACTCAAGTAAGAGACAACTAATTAAAACAATAGTTCTTTTTTTTTTCTGTTAGCATTACAGACCTTGTAGATCTTTTACCGCATTAACAAGCCTACTCCATCTGTGTCTATCTTAGGCTGTTTCTTTCCAGTTATCTGCAGCTCTATTGCATCTTTGTTGATTCTAGCTATCCATCTGCTTTTTGGCCTTCCATGTAGTCTTTTGCCTTCATCACTCAGTATTTTGTCTATTATTATTAATTCAAAACCCAATTCCTTCATTTGCTTTTTTCATTTCACATTCATTGTAAGTGGTTTTTACAATGGTTCCAATTGCCTTATGTAGAGCAAAGAGGATAATAGCCATGATTGAAAATTACTTTATTATTTATAATTATTAATTGTATAAATGTGACATGTATTTGATTGATGTAAATAATTTGTAAATTATAAATAAATATAATAAAGGTGGTAACACTAGTTCAGACCATTGAGCAGCATGAGTATGTGTGGTTTGAGTCACTAATGAATCCAGAATTTAATTTTGGAGTGGGCTTCAGCCCTAAATTATTTTTTTTCATCTACCTATAACGATAATTAATTTTTTTAAAAAAGAAAGAAATTAACTACCTATATGAAATGGTGTTTAAGTGATTCTTGAAGTCCTATTAAATGTAATTAAACGAACAAGAATACTTTAAGAGGTTGTTTTTAATATTTTTTTCTGTATATTTTACCATTTTGGAGCAGGCTTCAGCCCGAAAGCCCGCCCACTCAGTAGATCCTTCTGTGGTTTGAGTCAGTTTCTATGTGGTATCCATTAGAGTAATATTGAATCTGGACTATTTTTGTTTCAATACCCCACAATCCAATAATAACATTTTTCTGCAACATTTAAGGATAACACATCATTCTGTAAAGTATCCATTTCTTACAACCATATGGCAGCACTGGGTATGTCAAGATTTAATAAGTGTCCAGATAAGGGATAACTTCGATTGATAAGGGTGTGACTACCAAAACTGAATCTGTAGGAGTAAACTAAAATACCATCAATAGGCAATTATCATTACTATTATAAATTTTAACTAAACAGTTATAATGGTCCCATATAAATTATTGGCTTATATATTAAAATAATATGCGCCAATATCTTCTGTCACAATGTAGTAGATCCTCCCTTCATTGATTTGCATGCAAAAACTGTCCAACCAAAGTCCAGAATGTTTCTGTAGCATAGCTCATTGCATGTTATCTTGTAGCAGTAAGATCAATTTTTAAAATGATATTCTAACCTCTACTTATACATTTCTAAAAGCGTATTCTAGCGTTAAGTTAAAATGAAGCCAAGCTAATCTGCATGGTTGAGTCATTTTCTAGCCCTCCTCCTCCAAACAATTCTAAAAACAGGTTTCATTAATTTGAATCATAAAAATCATTCCTGTCATTCTACTACAATTTTATTTTTGTATCTTCATTTGATTCTTTGCTATAGTATCTACCTCCTTGATATGACTTTGATTTTACTGTTGAATAAGTGAGGCATTTAGTTCCAAAACTAGCTAAGTTTATTTTATTTTTTTATTTTACATGGCTACTAAGGAAAGAAAATTGCCCATTTAGTCTTTTGAAATTATATGCCAGCCCATGAATGAAACTATTGTATAGCTTTCTTTTTGGATCTATTCATTTATCAGGACGTGAAATTTGAAATTTTAGTACAAAACAGTTTTTTCGTTATAGCATCCACATACCAAATAGATGATCATCTGGATAATATAGTATTGGGAGGAATAAATTCCAAAAAAATTATTTAAAATTTTAATATGATATTACTTTTATTTTGAATTATATATACATTAAGGGAGAAGTTAAGTAAACAAAACATAAAAAGTAAAAAATGTTTTATTTACAAATAATAATTGCATTTCATAAAAATATCTGTGCAATTTCAACAGCTATTTTATAATATTCAAGTTTAACAGGAAACAAAATCTTAATTTCTTCTACTTTGTTATTTGCTGTTTTCAAGGCTAACATACCAATATAATCAAGGTTTTTATAATGTTTTATTGATAATATAAAAAAAAAAATGAACATTATTCTAAATTTAATTTTGGAATTAGAAAAATTTACAAGGAAATCAGAAAAAGTTTGAGATCACTAATTTCGGTGTATTATCTTATAATGCTTTATCCATGCTATCGATTAATTTATTATTCAAATAATGATAACCGAATGTTTATCAAGAACAATATTAACTTTGATTCAAATAAAACTGAAACCTTAACCTAAACTGTAATTCCAACTATGAAAATGGCAAATTTTGGACCAGACACCAAATTCAAGATTTGACTTTTGACGAGGGACAGTAACTGTGTTATACATATATTATTAAATTATAAATTACAATAACTCAATATTATATAATAATAAATCATATAATAATAATAAATAATATAATAAATTATGATAACATGTCTAGCCACATGTGAAGTTAATAATCATTAAATTATTAATTTATTCTAGTAAAAATGAGTATTATGACTCATTTTTACTTGAAAATCATGGTGTTTATTATTAAAGCCAACCTTTCACTTATCAAGGATATCAAAGACTTGCTTTATTTATTTATTTATTGAAAGAAACATGACTTCTCATTCTAAATAATAAATTTAAACTTTCAAGTAGTGCTTTTAATGCACAAAAGGCGTGATTAAATTATGAAGAAATATGCCCTAAAAGAAGAAGTGTTTTTGACAATTAAATCTGTTCTTGTTAAACTTTCTTAAAAATATATTAATTTAAAACTGCCAAAATGAGGTATGCATCGGAAAATCCAGCATAATAAATATTATTAAATTGATAATCACTCATATTGGAGTAATTAAAAAAAATAACAAAATAAGTTATTATTGAAATTAATTTCATATTTTAAAATCTTGATATATTTTTTATATTATATTTCAAAAATATAACAAGCTTTCTTTGGTGTTTATTTATTATTCCTAATGACTAAGACATAACAAAAAAATCCTTATACACAAAAATAAAATTTCCTGGACTTAAATAAAAACTATTTTATATATTTAATGAATCCTACCAATGGATAGTTTCTTCACAAGTTTTATCACATTTTTATTGTAAAATCTTACTTCACATTTAATTGTTGTTGTGTGTGAACACAGATGTAAATTTTAGTAAATAAAAAAAAATTAATGAACAAAAAGAATTAAATGAAAATTTTCAAAATCAATTCCATGTGTAAATGAGATCTGTTATGCTTAAAACCATTAAACATAATATCTTTTTCACTTAATGTTAATTTCACATGAGATAAAAAGAAAATAATGAAAAATGTAAATTTCTAAGGAAACAGAATGTTTTTAACTGAGCAACAAAATGGTATTGATAAATGTGTTGTATCAGTAATTCAGAGAGAGATATTGAGATACATGAGAATTTTAGGGTTCTCAGAATTCAACATTTTCTATTGGAGTTACGGAGTTTTAGCCTAAGAATGCTACTAAAACTGATTGTTTTTTAACTATCTAATAAAATTGGGGTTATAAAATGCTTTAAAGAATGATTTGTTAAATTTTTCTTTAAAATTTATGAATGAATTCATTTAGTTAATATTTAAAAAATCAATTTTTTTTTTTTAAAGCTGGTTATGAGGAGTTTCAAAACAAACCCATTCAGATACGGATAGAGAAAATCACAGAGAATGATTCAAAGACTAATTTTCTTAAAAATTAATGGAATTTCATGTTACAGACCTTAAGCTATGAACTACCATACAGATACATTTGTAAATATTTATAATTTGATTGATATCACTTGTTACAGAAATCTAGTAATTTCACATTGAAATCCCTACCACTTATTATTATCATTTTGATTTACATCCACAGTGAACATCTTTTATATGTAATTAAATAATAATTCAAACTAGGCAGAGAAATATGATAAATTAAAAATATATAAATACACACTAAAGGTAGATACTTGTTGCAAATAAACCAACACATATTCAAAATTATATAATTAAGTTTAATAAAAATTATAAATATTTTTTTTGTACTTATTATCATTGCAAAAACATTTCAAAATTTACATATCTAAAAACTAATAATATCATTAAAAATTATTTTTAAACTAAAAACTCATAAAATAACTACAATTAATTAGTCATAATATAATTATTACCTTACAATACAGTCAAAGTACTTTTCAATGAGAGATAATTCTTAACTTTACAACTATAATCTATTTCATTAATTTGAAAAAAGAAAAATATTAATTTAGCAGGAAATATTTAAAATATTAACTGCTTTAGTTAGTCTATAAAATTTTATAAGTCAAATAGCTAAACACTGTTATATAATTCCTTCAATATCAATTTTAAAAGTGTCTTCTTCTTTTTAACTTGCAAATCTTGGTTTTAGCCAACTCTTCTTGTAATTTTTCTTGTATGATATTTTCAATTATTTCAGTAAATGACGTTCTGTATGATTCTAAAACCCAAGAAATTATTTCAGATTGTAATCCATTCAGAAAACCTAGACCAGTGATATCGACGAGTATACCACTCATCTGCGTGATTTCAAGTTTGGATATAGACACAATGCAATGAGGAACAAAAGTCAGAGTAATTTCCAAAAATAATGAATTATTGGCGACAGTCACATTTATTGAACCCGATTCACTAATTCCGATTATGGAGGCAGTGTATTTTTCAAAACTAACTTGCATTTTAGAAAAAGTAACAGTCATGGCAATTGTTATTTTATTCAACTCAGGTGAATGAGTGACATTTACATCACCTTGTCTTTTTATAGTCGCAGGATTGGTGAATTCACCATCGGTTGCATTAAATTGACCTGTTATAGGTACTCCAATGACATCGTATTCAAAGCCGGTACTCAAGGGAGGTATCACAACAACTGTATCATGATGTGTTGTCAAATAAAACTTGAGTTCTTCCAAGATAACATCCATTAATAAGTCATACATAGAATCGTGTCCGATCTCATTTGTAGCTATGTTATGTGAATGTTTTGAAAAACTTGCTCCACTAAAACCAAATAATAAAGAAACACAAATCACAGAGAGAAACATTTTTAAAGAAATAACCACTGAGACAGATAAACAAAAGAATAAAAGAAAGAAATCAGTAAACTGGATAAAGGTCACTGATATCCCCTCCCTCATCTAGTACTACTAAGGATTCAACCCCAATGAATCAACATCACTAAATGTCATAATAAGGCAATTTAAAAATAATTGTTTTCAATGAATAGCACTTCAATAGAATACTTCTTACTTTTTTAACTAAAGTATTTCCAAACTAAAAAATAAATAAATAGTTATAAAAATTATAAGAAATGAAATATAATAGATTAACAAGTTTTAGTCAGAATATCTTAAATTAAAAATATTCTATCTCATAAAAATTATGTTCTATTTATAAAAAAAAACTACAAATTATTATTATATTTTCAAATAATTTACATTTTTTCAAATTGAAAGAAATAAAAAAACTCATGTAGGTACAGAATGAAAATAAAGCAATTAAATTGATAGCATTAAAATTTAATACAAATCAAATGTAAAAAATTTCAATATTTTTCACATTGTTGAAAATATAAAATGAAAAATGAAATAATAAAATTAACATTAATCATAACTTTTTCACAAAGAAACTATTTCTTAAACGTTAACAAAAAAAAATTAATCTTTAAATTTTAAAGCAAAAATTCCTTTATCACCCTTAAGGTAAGAAGCAAGATAATATTAAATTGTATAGAAATAATTATAATAAAATAATTAACTTACCTATGATTTAAATATAATCAGCAATTCTAGTTTCAGTTATATTTAGAAAGGTGTTATTAGTAAGGCATTTTTATATTACTCTTAGATTTTAAATGTACCCATCAATAACTGTGTCAATTCCTCATTTTATAAAAAAAAAAAGTCTAGTGTGGCTGTAGACTAGTGAAAGTAGACCACTTTCACTTACCCACATACTTATACATTTAACATTTAATTATTTAAATCCTTTATTAGGGCTACAATTATTAATGGTTATTTATTAACATATGTTTTTCCAGCCCATCAATCCTGCTTAATCAAAATCATTGGACCCATTTTCAAGAAAATCAAAAAATTTTGTAAAACTCATTGATTGATAGTAACACTATTGTGTATTTTTATTTTAGTTTACTGAGATTCTATGAATTCTTTTAAGTACATGCTCTAACCACTATACGTATTTTTTTAAACAGAAATCAGCATCATAAATATGAAAAAGGATATCATCCATTTATTAATAGTTGTGGAGAAAAAGACTGTCATCCAGAAGCAGATGTATTTTAAGTAATATATAGGTTATAGATTTATAAGATAATAAAATAAATAAATGAAGACTAATTAATTTATTATTCCAGAACCTTTCCAATGTCAAAAGCTCTATTTAAATATAAGTAAAAAATAAATTCTCATAACCAATGAATCAATATAAATAATTATTAAATTCAAATAATTTATTTGTTTCGGTTCACCATCAAACAACTTCGAAGGCTCAAAGGCAAAAAATTAAAACTGAAAACTTGTGCCTTTTTAGAAATCGAATTAAGGAAATCATGAGCAAATAATTTTGCCTCCATTCCTAATACCATTTTCTGTCCAAGCTCCATAGATTCTGGTTTCTATGACTAACTAATTCATATACTCAACTACACAATACCTCTCAACAACTAATTGAATCGGTGAGTTCAGAAACCACTTCAGTAATTAATTTAAAATTTTTCAGGGGAGAGAAAAAACATCATAACTCCTCCAAATTTTCAAATATTTGAACTTTCTTTTTGTCTGTCATAACGTGCATCTATATTGCTGTCATGCAAAAATTACCTAATTTCGACATTAGGCTGTTTCTGCACTCAACTGTTTTTCACAGACAGCTGAAAACTTGGAAGAAGGTAACCATTCATTAAAACTTTATTTATTTAATTAACAATTTATTTTACTACAATTTTTATTAATTTTAATTTATTTTACAATTTACTGGGGTGATGGATCCAACAAAAAAAAAAGGCTTGGGAATTTATTTAGTAAATATATTTTTTTTAATAAATAAGAGTATTCATTAAGAAGGTTTTGTGGAAATATTTCTATCCACTTCTGTAAATTTAAGTGTATTCATTTTGATAAATGTCAATACTGCCGTATTCATTTATACTAGTGTAAATATAGCCATATTCATTTTTACAATCATGAATATGGCCATATATATATATATATATATATATATATATATATATATATATATATATATATATATATATATATTATATATATATATATATATATATATATATATATATATATTTACAGCCGTAAATACGTATCATCTGTATTCATATTTCTTTTTATGAATATAAATATATTTATATTTACATTCATAAGTATCATGTGATACAGCGGTGGGTGCAGAAACCACGTTAGTCACTGATTCATATTATTCCTGCACTCGACAATCGAAAAAGATGTCATGTATTTACGGAACTACTCAACAGAATAAAGTGGTTCTTACACTCAACACGCATCTTGCCTTTCTAAGCTTCTTTTCATTGAAAACGATTTTTCGCATTTTTTTACTGAAGTGGTTTCTGCAATCACCAATTCAATTCCTATGGATTCTGTTCACTTTTCTTTCTGATCAGTTATACAGATGTACCAATGGGGGACAGATGTAATAATGTAAGATCAACAAGCAAATGACCATGGTAGAGAATTATATGCTGTCTTATTCTTTATTTCTGCCGTAATAAAGAATGTTTAAATGGTAAAAGAGCACAATCGGTCATCACTGTCTCACAAAATAGTTTAAAGTTATAGTTTAAAGAAGGGGTATAAAAAATTGTTGTTATACTTATAACATTATTTTAATAACAAAACAATAATACTTTCTAAAACAAATAGATGAAGAACATCTGTACGAAAATACACAAGTCTAGTTTTCAGACTTTAATATAAAATTAATTTAAATACTATTATAAATAAATATTTATATATAAAGTATAAATAGACAACCAAAATAACTGAGGACTGGTGGAAAAAAAAATGTAATAATGCTTCTCCAACCCTATTCTAACTCAACAAAATTGTTTAACCTTTTAATGGGTTTACCTCATTATGAATAAAAATTGAGAAACTTATTCAATGATTGTTTTTTTTATATACTTCAAATTAAAAAAAAATAATCTGGGAAAACTGATAGGCAGAGAGAGAACATACAATTTCAATTTAAAACTAACTTTTAACAATAAAAAATGTTTTAAAACATTTTTAAAGGAATAATATTTCAAAAATATTTCTTCAATCAATGTTAAATATTATAGTATTCACTGATTGATACATGTAAGTCTATCTTGTGAATATTGAAAAAGGTTCAAGTAGATACATTTCAGCTGATCAATAACAGTTAAAAGAACTACAGAGAATTCTAATATTTAATCTTAAACTAACAGAGAATTTTAAGAATGATTATCAGTTCAAGATAACCTAATCTAATTATCTTGGTGATGATAACAGGAATCTAATATTCTGAGCGATCATAGTCATTCTAAAACATTTAAACAGTAATATAACTCCTAAAGATCTTGAGGAACATTATATAATGGAAAAATGAAAACTTAAAAACTAACATTTTGCGAGAAAGTACATTGAAACATTCTTTTCATACAAAATAGCAAACACTTAAAAAGAGAAATGAATTAATTGCTAGAATATAAATGCTATGAACACAAAGCCTCTAGTCTCCAAAATAATAAAGAGTGCATTTGTTTAATTGCCACTCATAGATATTTCAGATAATGTTGTCTTCTCCCATCTACTCCTGTCTCCAAAAACAATTATTGCTTTATAGTTAAAAAATAAATGAAGGTAGTTTTTATATTTAGGTATGCTTAAGTGAGCTTTTTTTTTTTTGTTTTATCACAAGTTAGTTTTAAATATAAATATTTTATTGCTTCTCAAAAAATGCGAATCCAGGCAAGAACTTAGCCTGCTTGTGTGAACAACCAACCAGCCAATATTTTGGAGGCTCAATGCTTTGTGTTTGAGTTCTTTCAATTATATCCTAGCAAAAATAGTATTTTAATTTTTTTATATAATTAACTAAGAAAATATACACATATTACTATGCTATATGTATATTAGTGGAATCAAAATTATCACAGGAGTTCCCAACCCTGTACCTGCAGCACAACTGGACCAGCTTGACATAACCTATTTCAGTGATGGCAACCATAAACTGTTTCACAAGAGCTGTTGACGTTCAATAATTTTTTTTTTTTTAAATATCTTATATTTAATTAGAATTATAAGAGTATTTGTTTGATAATAATAAATTATTGACAGCATAGCTTAGCATTTAAAAAATATTTTCCCATCTATCTTCATTAGTGTACTGTTTTTAAATATTTTAGTTCAATAAAAAATTAACATTGCTTTCAAAATATCCTATTCCTAGTTATATGTCTGTATACCTGTCTCCTATCATTTCAGTTTTACAAATTAGTTTTTCCATTTTAATCTCAAAATGAGTGAATCACTTAAAATATTATCTGATAATATCATATTTCAAATATGATATCATAATATCATAACATATCATAACATCAAATATAATATCATAATATCAAATAATCATATTCTTTTAATTATTGAAGCAATAGTCAATGAAAAAAATTCAAAATATGATTTTGGCATTTATACATTAAATTGTGCCTTCAAGTAACGTAAAAGGTTGAGAATTCCTGATCTACCATCTCAAATTACTAACGGAAAAAAAAAAAATCAAACAAGTAATCAAGTAAAATAGCAATACCTTATACAATAAAAAAAAAGAAAAAAAACAGAAAAATAAATTACTTATACAATAATGAGAACAAAATTTATAATGAATACAAGTTTCAGTTCATACATTTAATAAATGCCACATTCGATCTTTGTTTCTCTTTATAAATGTTTTTAATTCCCTTTCCCTTCCCCTTCTAAAAAAATAGAATAAATAATACGCATTTGAACCAGCATATATTAAAAAAATACATACTATATTGAATCACCTGACTAAAATTCAAAAAATTAATAAAAAAAAAAAAATTAAATAAAATTTAAACAACCAAAAACAAATTTAAATAAACCTACAATTATCCTACTTGACTCATGTTTTTCGAGATTTAGATTTTTTCTTCTGGAAATTTGACTCTAAAAAGCTGTCAGAACCAGAATCCTCAGATTGTGAGGTTCTCGTCGGTATCCTTGTTTGCATTGCCAGAGTAAGAAGGCTCCAAGCCTTCTCTTTATTATATATAATAGCGGTGAATAGAAGGATGAGAGGCAATACCAAATAAGAGGACTGAGAAAGTTCAGGTTCCTTCAGACGAGGCTTGGGAGAGAAAACGAGTCGAATAAGCTTAAATGAAGAGTTCGCCTTGAAGTGTACAGGCCTGTTAGTATAGGAATGTGTCGACTGAGAGAGAGTTGACTCCAACCTAACGATGTAAGACCTGCCATCTGCTGGTAATGGCGGGAAAGGGACGACGATCGTCTTGAGATAATAACCGCTAGCGGATGGCTTGTAATCAGAGAGCTTGATGACATGGACAGTCGAATCTGGAGCTTCTTCGGAAGACAGCCGAACCCGAAGTGTCTTCAGGTCTTCTGGCCTTTCTGGAGTAATGTGAACAACAACATCTGTCCTCCATTCAGGTCTCAATGCGTACAGATGCAGATCTTCCACATCTGAAGCCTCAACCTGTAAAAATTTATAAATACGATCTAAGATAAAATTATATTTTTATAAATGTTAGCTAAAGTAGGAAGAAAACACAATATAGCCATGTGAAATTAGTTACCACCTTTCAATATGAATATGTATTAGTGAATATTTTGTAATGTCAGGGGTATAAGGAAAAAAGAAAATGTGAGTTTCAACTAAGTGCCATATAAGTTCTACATTGGGCTATCAACTAATCGTGGTTAAACTACATGTATAAAAAAAAAACCTGTACCACTACAACCCATGAACGGTCTGGGGTTCAGTACTATTTAGGGAAAGCACTGTTTCTATGTCAACGGTTGTGCAAGGAGATGATTTGACCGAGATCCCGCTCAACCGCCAGGTTTTCCCCCTTAATTAATTATTTAATTAAGGGTACCCACTTTATAGAGGCTGGGTGTGCCTCAGGAGGGTCTCACGACCCGGGGTCGCCCCACGGCCAATGAAACAGATAAATAAATTTTCTGTCATGAGCCAGGGTTCAAACCCTGGGACCATTAGCATTGGAAGCTCAGTACGCTACCACTGAGCTACCCCACTCCCTCTAAACTACATGTATAACCTACCCAAAAAACAAATCACAACCTCCTTTGTAATTATAAGAACCGATGTTCTTCAGTATAATGTAGTGAAATCATATCATATGCATTAAACATGTTTCAGTATAAGCAAGTTACATACCATGGAGAACCTCTTAAAAACACTGTTTTTTTTTTTTTAAATCCGAAACCAATTAAACAAATCATAAAATCAAATTAAAGTTAAAGGAAGCTATTGATTTAGGTTAAAAAAAATCTTCTGTTATAATAGAAAATCCTTAAATTAAAAAGGGCAATAATGTTTTAATCTTACCTTAATAGTAATATTTTCTGGCGTAGCTTTTGAAATATGTTGGTTAACATCTGGACCTTCCTTTACTCGGATGTTATATCCACACTAAAATAAACAAAAAATATTATTATTTATTTTTCTTTAAATATAAACTAATATGAAATTTTATCATTTTTTTTTTTTTTAAGTTAAAGTGAGCTCAATCAAGTAATTGTTCAAAAAACATATCCATATAAAAGGGTCTTCACACATAGTCACCCAGTTTAAAAGTAGAAATTAATTAAAAATTAATGTGAGGAGTTGATCGGGGGGTGCGGTCAAATAAATACTAAATTAAACAAATAGTATTATTTAATTTTTGCCAACGTTTCGACCCACTTTGCAGGTCTTCATCAGGGCTACAAAAGATACATAACATGGTGAAAATAAAATAAATGAATATAAGTAGATATAAAATAAGAAGTTGTGTGATACAGAAATAAAAGGATATCAGAGAAATAGTGGGTGACAATGTAGTTAAAATATTAAGTATTATATGTAGAAGATACAAACAAAAATGGAAAATAAGTATGAATAAAAATAGAAAATAAAGGAGAATATAAGTTTTAATAAGGAGAATATAAGAATATAATAAGGAGAATTTTCTATTTTTATTCATACTTGTTCTTCTACATATAATACATGATATTTTAACTATATTGGTACCCACTATATCTCTGATATCATCCTTTTATTTCTGTATCAGACAACTTCTTCTTAATTTATATCTACTTATATTCATTTATTTTATTTTCACCATGTTTTGTATCTTTTGTAGCCCTGATGAAGACCTGCAAAGTGGGTCGAAATGTCGGCAAAACTTAAATAATACTATTTGTTTAATTTAGTATTTATTTGACCGCACCCCCCGATCAACTCCTTCTCATATTATATCAATGGTCAACCATCTCTACATCATTAAAAATTAATGTGTTTTTTAAATGTAAAAATATGTACATACACCAGGCTGAAGACCTCTGATCCTAAAATGTCCATTATTTCCTGAAGTTGCTTCTTCCTGATAAAGATTGCACTTGTCCAGGCCAACAGCTTCTACAACAACACCTCCCTCACCTTCGCCATTCAGTGAAGTCACCAATCCATGACCGCTGTAAGCCACTCTCTCACCGCTACGGAAAGAGAGAATTATACAAAATCAATAATTATGTAATGTTTATAATACATGAGTAGGCTCTTATTGGAGGCAGACATCTGTCACCAAAAATTGAAACTGAGTTGAATTTGATTTTTATAACATTTTTTTTAACCAGTTCAAAAAATATGTATGTTAAATTTAATTTTAAAGTTAAAGGTTCATTTCAAAAAATATATCCTACAAAGAAACTTCATTTTGATCAAATACAAATTTTACATTTAACATTTAACTTTTTAAAATCAGTTTTAACAATAAACTCAACTATATTACTTAAGGCTGATTTAGATATTATAGGTGTGACAGCTTGTTTATAAATAAAATTATTCGGATTTGCTTGCATCAAAAGCAGTCATGTTTTTATCAAAACAGAAATGTACAATAATGTTTACATAAAAACAACTGGCAATTGTCATTTCAGAAACAGACATCTGTATTTTCAAACATGAATTTGATTACCTTGTTGAAGTTATATTGATATGACATCTTTTACAGAATCAACAAACAATGATTAGGACATCTTTAACAGAAATAATAAACAATGCTTAAGTTGAATTATGAAAATAAATTATCAAAATGAATTTAAAGGAAGGAGATGGTCCGGGATGGCAGTCATAAATAGGCTAAATAGTGGCAAAACTATTTTTATTAAAAGCCAACTTTTCGACCCGACTTTGCAGGTCTTCTTCAGGGAGGTGTGTTCAGCTAGGAGTTTCACTTAGAACTGAGCGGTCAGTTCTAAGTGAAACTCCTACCTGAACACACCTACTTGAAGAAGACCTGAAAGTCAGGTCGAAACATTGGCTTTTAATAAAATAGTTTTGCCACTATTTAGCCTATTTATGACCGCCACCCCGGACCATCTCCTTGCTTTATAATGCAACGGTCAACTATTCAATATTCAAAATGAATTTAAATTACACATTTATAACAAAAATTGACCTTTTCTTAAATTTCTAAAAATAACAGATGTTCGCCTCTGATATAAGGTCACCCAAATGTAATGTACACATAGCAAATACTTTATAGTGCTGAAGATATCCTGATATACATATACATATAAATAACTAATTAAATTGAAAAATAAAACAAAAAACATGGGCTAAGCCTGACCTCAATGTAAAGTGTACAGTAGCACCTTCGTCAACACTAATGATTTTACTGGTCGGGTGAAAACGATACTCTTTCATCATGGGTCTTAAAAAGTATTCACCAGGGCTAAGCGATAGGAAGGACATGACTCCTCCTGTGTCAGTATGAGCATTACGACGGTAATCTTTACCACCTGACAGAGACAATAAAACACCCTGAAAAAAAAATTAAAAATTCTATATTGCAACAAAAAAGGACAAGATGGCTGAGAGAGTTAGAGTGTCATAAGCTTAACGATCTCATTGGTGGGAGACCCACTCTGGTTAGAATAGGTTGGTTAACTGTAGGATAATAAACCATCTGTATGTCAGAAATGGCCAAGTTTAGGGGGGGGGGGAGGTAAAAAACATAATAATGCTAAAGTTTAAACAAACACATGACTACCCCAGCGCATCACGGATATCACTAGTTTACTGTAACTCAAGAGGAGTATTTACAACGAGGTCATTATTAAATTACCTGATTAAATGAGAAAAAAAAAAACTAGGATATGTGATTAAGATCACATGACAGAAGTGAAAATATCAACAAGGCGAAATAATATGAAATTTTTTTTGTTCTATATTCAAAAAGTAATAACACTTTCAATATAAACAATTATAATTGTGTATAAATTATTAATTTGACCCAAATGTTCAAAACATTTTCTATTGTTTGTTTTGTGAATTGGTGCTGTCTTTTTGCCTTTTTGATTTTCTATAGCTTATTACAAAGAGGATGAAATGCTGAAAATGTCCGTTGCTAACAGTATGGAGGTCCGAATATTAGATTTTGAAATATTTTAATCCAAATGTTAAAAAAACCTTGTTATCATTTGGTTTTTGACATTATATTTTTCCCTCTTTAACACGGCATCGTGTCAAGAAATAATTTTCAATAATAGCTCATAACAAAGAGAATTTTTGAGTTTCTGAAATATTTTAGTCCAAATGCAAAACTTAGTAAACTTAATCCGACTTTATCCGAATAATGGTTACATAGCGTCTCATCCACAAAATAATTGCTAAGGAGGCCTAAAGAAGTTTTCACTTAAAAAAAAATTTTTTTTACTTTTTCTGGGACAAATCTCATAACATTGAATATTTAAGTTAGCGATATAGAGTGGGTATTTAGATAATATTAAGCTAATTGTAATGAAAAAATAACAATTTTAAAAAAATTAATAAAAATAATAATAAAATTTTTATCAATCCAAAATAATTACTCACCTGAAGCGGTGATCCATCATTAACATCTTTGACTGCAACCACAATTTCAGCAAGTTTATGGGCGCTGAAATGCCCTCGCATGGACTGCTCAGTAAGTACATAACCTTCCTTAGCAGCAAGGAGCCTATAAAATAAAAATAAAATGAAAACTTATTTTTAAAAAATATGTACATATTTTTATTAAATTTACAAAATATGAGGTTCGTTTCACCTGTAATTAGACATTGCTTTAATTGGGGGGAATTTGTAAGAGCCATCCTGAGCAGTGTCTTGTGTGTGAAGAACCGTTCCATCTTCATCGAGAATACTGATAGAGACGTTTATCAATCCTTTACTATCCCCAGTAGTCACTTTCCCTTTAAAAAAAAATATTGGTTTAAGATAATAAACTTTAACAGAACAGGAAAAAAGAGGAGTTTAAAAAAAGTAGACTTTTTAAACGTATTTGAAATAAATATTAACTTTTCTTGACAATATTGCACTTTATTTTGAAATGGCAAACGCTGGGCATGGTATAATAAAGTTCTAGGGTACTGAAGATCAGTATAACTTCAGTTAACTTTTTTATTCTAAAAAAAACAATGCCCCATTATCATATAGTCGATACAAATGCTATCTATAGAATATGAAAATATGAAAAATGTTCAATCCTGCAGTCTAGCCATTGTAATTGTAATTAAATATTTTTAAAGAGTGAATAAACAATCTTCAAACATTCATAGAAGCATATATTAGTGTGGAAATTAAAATACCCTTGTTGTTTGGACTGAATCGATAATGATGTTAGAGTGGTGATTTTCAGATTCGATAGTTAGTATTTGTATCGACGATATGAATAACTCTGGGTTATTTATAACCCAATCAGCATTTTTGTTATCTCTATTTTATTATATAGTAAAATTTAAAATTAAAGCAGATTCTTAGTTTTGAAGTTTCAAGCTTAAATGCATAACACTTTAACAAACGAAAAAAAAGTTATGTAGAGATACATTCTCTTTTCAGAGTTCTATTCCTTTTTTATTTTAAATGTTGAATTCCGAAATCAACCAGTGTGCTACATAAGAAGGGGTATGTACTCCCAGTTAAAAAATGTCATGAACAGAAAATGAAGATAAAAATAAAGAGGACTCATTCATATAATCATCATGTTTTTAACCCTATGCTGAACTATACAGCTGAAAACTGATATAGTATTAATCGTTTACAAGCTGCGGTTAATTAATCATATATAAGTATACAAGCTATGATTAATTAAGATGATATTCAAAAGGTAAGTTCGTGGTAAAATTTGATCGAATGAGAAGTTAAATAAGAGAAGGGACAGGACAGGAAATCCTAAGAAAAAACATCTATAGGAAAGAAATGATGTAATTCGGCCATTTACAAAGAATGCTGATTAACAGATTAAGCAAAGGGGGAGGAGGGACATGAGGCTGATCAAGAAATAAGTGATTTTGTATCGGATCTGACAAGGAACTCAGGGTGAGGTTGAGAAGTTGGCTACAGACAGAGATATATCAATAAATGAATACAGGCTGTCCTGACATAGTAACAAAAAATGTTCAATACAAATAAAATTGAGTTCTAATAGATTCAGATTATCTAATTTTAAACACTTTATAATCAGATAAGAATGTTTTCAGCTGTGACATCCATTAACCCGGATGCAAGAAATGACCAGGTAGAAGTGAAAAAATAAATAAATGATATGACTACGTATAAATTAGTAATCGTATGAATTTAAAATATTACCAGAAATCACTTGTCCTTTTTCGGCATAGAACAGAGGCTTTGTGATATTTGCACAGTCAAGCGCTCCCTTTAACTGAACAGATTGAGGAGTAAATATAGAGAAACTAGCTGCAGGGCTTACGGTCACAAACTCTCCCTCAGCAAGTTGTAAAGACAGTTTATACTTCCAAATTCCCAATTTCTTGTCCTCATAGAAAATTTTTCCAGGCACCTGTAATGAACTAAAACCAATTTATTAGTAAAATCGCAAGAAATTAAAAACAATTGATGTTAAATAAAAAATACTACCAAAAATTTATTTACTTTTCTGGTTGGTGATCTTTATTTTTTGGCTTGGCCCGTACTGTGACCTTCAAATCGTCAATTGGATGGCTAGATTCAATATAAAAGGAATTAGCATGAGTGATAGCGAATAATTCAACAGCACCAGATACCCAACGGATTCTCTGCTCTTTATAACCGTGACAGCCAACTGGTTCAAAAATATAAGGTGCATATTTAGCAACGCAGATATGGGTGCTACCGGGTGAAACATTCATTTCCAACTTTTCTTTTTCATGACCCTCTGGCCAATATGATACCTAAAAATTACATTAATTTTTATTTAATCAATATATTACGTGCAATTTAGTTCACTGTTTCTAGCCAACTCCTCAAACAATTCACTTATAAAACTTAATAATATTAAAAAATGAAAAATCTAACCTTAGTCTCGTGAGATGATACAATGGTAGCAGTAAAGCCAGACTGTGTAAAATTAGGAACTTCGGTAATTTCTTTCATGATGGAGAGTGACATCGTTTCTTTTTCCCAGCACCAACCAAGTCCAGGCTCGATGTAAAGGTCGTAGTCTCCAGGTATGACATTGGTGAATTCGTAACGTCCATCTGTTTAAGAAATGATAATAATTTTATTGTTACTAGTAGTAGATAAATTTTCTTTTAATAGATCATTGGAGTAAGCATTTCTTTTATCACTTAGAAAATAAAAAATTACCACTCTTTTGGTTTATTATAATCAACAAAGAAAAAAAAATTCACCTCCTTTAAAATTAGAGATTTTATGTTTCAAAATATATAAAACCCAAAAATCGAATTTAAAAATCGGTCTGTCCAACATACATGGCTGACTTCTTTCAGAAAATACTCTAATTTTAATGACTTTTGACACCAAAATCAGAAGTCACCCCAGGATGATACACACAGAGCTCAACATTCCAATCCATGATTTATTCTCAAAATGGCGGCTGATAAGAAGTTCTAAACACCCATATCTCGGTCATTTATGAAAACATGGCAAAAATATAAAGTTCTTTGGAATCATTAAACCAAAGTCCTAGGGCAAAAAAAAATATTACTTCCTTACTGCTGCTAGATAAAGGCAGTGTATGTCTGTGCCACGACTATTTATTGGAACAGGTTGAGTGATTTTGTTTTTTAATTGTGGATTGATGGTTGACTGTAGTGAATAATCGAAGAGAAGGACGGTTGCGGTTATCAGTCAGAATAAAAATAGCAAAAATAAATAATAATATTCATTTTTACTTTTTATTTTTACATTTGCCTCCTTAATAGCTAAAATAAATATTATTATTTATTTTTGCTATTTTTATTTTGACTGTTCGCCCCAACCATCCTTCCCTTCAATTTTGTTTTTTTTATTCTTTGAAGGGTTTAAGCCTCCGAAAAACGTGTACTAAATTAGGCACCATGTGCATTATAGTAGATAATTAACTTATAAATATAATAAGTTAATATGGAGTTGTCTGAACAAAATTCAGAAGTTTCCATGGAAAGCGTTCTCCTCTGATTTGATTTTTGATAATTCAGAAACTATACATCCCCAGAATACTCGAGTTGCTTACTTTAAAAATAAATAACTATCTATATATCAAAACATAAATAATAATAATAAAAATTAATGAAATGAAATCTTAGGTCAGGCCAATATTAGCAACAAAACTTTATATTGAACTTTCCATGGAAGTGGTAACGAAATTAGTGTAAAGGGACACTAGATGACCAGACATATTTGATATTTAACTATTTGAAAATAATAAACCATTTTGTAATGATATGTAGTGGTTTTTTAAAAAATAAAATTAGGAAAAGCTATTGATTAAAATGTGAATACTGACATATACATAAAAGATTACAAGATGTAAATATTTTTATAAATAAATAGTAATTTATAAAATCAATGAAGGCTTTACTCTGTGCAACAGCTTGCTTTGAAGGACCCCTTCCTTTTGGCTTCAAATTGACAGTTATCGGAGGGCATGGAGACATACAAGCGATTCTACCTCTAAGAGTAGACCGTAGCTGTGAGAAATCAACATTGTCCAAACATTTGTCAACAACTTCGATGTCTTTACTTGTTGGAGAAAACCTGAAAACATCACATTATATTTTCACTCATGTCAGTAATAATCAGTTTGAACCAGGCTCTATTCAAACATGTGAATAAAACAGGAATACTAACACTAGTATGTATGTAATATTGCCCAGTTCTTTCTGATAATGAGTTGAAAAATAATTATATTCTTTACAATATAAAAAAGAAAACTCATAACAAATTTAAATGTTTAACACAAGTTATTTTATGCATTATATTTATCATAAATTTTATACTTTTACTAAGGTAAATTAAAACGAAATGACAGAAATGAAATATTTCAAAACGAAGCCTATAAATATTGTAACAGCTAGTAAAATATATTAATGTGAGTTGGAACAGATATCAAACAATTACTTACAAGAGACCATCATTCCTTTGCTTATCATCAACTGATGGTGTTATGCTGTATCTTCCTCGAGACAAGTAAATGCAATAATTGCCAGTTTGATCGGTCATTATTTGATCTGTCAAATGATCATTAGAGAATATTTTCAATTTATATGGTCCAGAGCTTGTAGTCGAATAAAGGCGGCCACAAACTGAGTAACTTTTAGGAAAAAGATCCGGCAAAATGGTAGATGTTATTTTGACATCGACTTCTTCAAAAATTACATTATCTGCTAAATAAAATATGATCTAATGAGAACTGAGTTTATAAAACAGTTTATAAATAAAAGAGGAAATGGATTAAAATTTAACAAAATATTTCATTGAAAATTCACATTACCACTAGTGACTTTGACTTTATAGCTTCCAGCCCTCATGTTTTCCAAATTGTAAGTACCATCTTCAGCAGTTGTGGCAACTTCTTTGCCATTCAAAATAACTTTGGCATCGCTCATAGGCAATCCATCAGGAGACCAAAGCACTCTTCCGCTGACAGTAAAACCTTTGACCTAGCATATTCAAATAAAAACCATCAGGTAATATAGAACAAAATGAAATACACATTTAAAATATATATCTTTCTTTACCTGAAATGAGGACGGAAGAGTAAGACTTCCATGAGAGACAGTAAAAGGTAATTTCTTTGGATGCACATCAAATTTAGTACTTTTCGAACCTTTATAATAAGGAACCAAAACATAATCACCAGGAGGAAGGACTGGGAAAATAAAACCTCCTTTCATGTTAGAGGAAACGTGGCAAACTGGTGATAAGTCTTTAAGATCTAATCCATCATCAGAAAAACCAGTAAGAGGACTCACATCACATCCGGTGACACTTATCTGTAAAAGAAAATAATAATAATAAAATAACATAAACTTTACATTAACAAGTTACATTTGAATCAGTTAAATTGATAATTATAAATAAAACATACCCGTGTTTTGGAAAATAAAACAAAACTAACTCCTGTTATTGGCTGGTTATCACTCGTAACGGAACCTCTCACATCATAACCAACAACAGCCAATACCCCATCAGTAATCTTACCATTATCTTTTAATACTTTCACATTAGCTTCAGTTTTAGCAAGTTTCCAACTGTAAATTAAATTTAATCAATCATATATGAACTTCATAAAGTTAATAGAAAAATAGAGTATGAATAAATGATACTTACATTTGATGAGATATTTTGACTTTGTAATCGCCTGGTAAAACAGGTGTAAACATGAAATCACCATTGTTAGAAGTTAATGTGTGCAAAATGGGAGCTTCAGAATTGAGAGGATAAAGCTCCACAGTGATTCCTTTAGGGCCGATATCAAAACCAGCACTGACAACCTAAATAAATTATTAATGTTATAAACTGAAAAATACATGGGAGAATATCAGTTAAACATTTTTAATGAAAATCATAAATATGTATAGTTTAATTAAATTAAGAACAAGTGGTTTACATCATTCTTCTAAAACATAAAAGACTAACTGTGTCATGAGGTTTAATATATATTAAATATCGATCATACATGTCTGTTTCATATACATAATGAATACATGACCAAATTCATCTGTTTATTTAAATAACAATCATATTTCCTTAGAGGAAACAAAAGAAGCAACCAAAAAAATAAATAAATAAAAAATCGGACAAGGCAGAAAGTATCTTCAATTTAATGAATTTATACTAACAAAGTTTCTCAAGAACACAATATTTTTAAGCTATTTAAAGAAAACGCTGTACTTGAGCAGAGACAATATCTTTGTTTTTCTCTCTTCGTGTTTTAAAACATAAAAAAAAAATTCTCAATTTTATAATGAAATTAAAGTACAATATTCATTTGTCACACCACCACAAATAAGTATGTCTTGGGACTTTTATTATTATTATGAGGATAATATACAAATTCTGTTTTGAAAATGAAATGAAGATAATTTTTTTTCTGTTTAAACAATGAAATATGCACAATTGTAAACACTTAGACCACTCTTTATTTCAACAATGAAATATGCACAATAATGGGCCAACAAATATCTCATAAATGAAGGCTCAAGAGTTAATTAAATTGAAATATGGTATTAAAATAATTTCATTCCATTTTCCAATAATAGATTTTTTAAAATCATGTGTACTAAGGTGCAGCCAACTGTATTGTTACAGGTCATCAAAATGGCACATGGATCAATTTTAAAACAAGCTCTTTCCTAAATTTCAATTGCTTTATAAAAAGGGTCATTCTTTTATATGACAATTGCATTTTATATTTTTTTAAATATAAGTTTTTATTCGATATGATATATTGTAGCCAGTTTGTAAACGTAACCTTACTTTAAATAATAATTATAATTTGTTAAATTTAATAATATAATAATTTTGAATGTCCAAAGTATGTATTATATTATATTATATATTATAAAAATGTATTATATGACAAAAGTTAATTAAAAAATCTTGATGCAACTGAGTTTGTTATTCTAGATATTTATAGAATGGTCACTGATTTTTGACCAATGGGATTTGAGGGAATGATCTGAGCTCACCCTGGAAACTTCCTCGGGCTATTTATTTGAACATCACCAGACTGGCGATCACAGCTCAGTTGATAAGTTAATTATTAGAAATTATTCTATATATGAAGAAGGCTGTATCAGTGTCATGGTTATATTTCTATATCAACAAACATTGAATTTATTTCACTGGCAATATGAAATAAAAATTACCATTGTATTTCAGTTACAAACAATAGGGTCTTCTGAAGTGTTGTATTTAGAGTAGTAATTTTAATTCATTGGTAACAATGATGAATTTTTGAATTTATATGTTGTTTGTTTTTAATCAAAATCCCTTCAATAAAATAACTCTTATTATTAAAATATAGATTATTTATTCAATAAGTAAAAAATTTATTTCCTAATAAAAATTTCAAATGCAAAGAGATTTTCAACAGAGTTTCAACTATAGTAAACAAATATTAATTTCATCTCTAGATTTGTACTTACCCTACCAAAAACAGCAAAACCCTTAAATTCAAAATTTATATCTTTTCCTTGACTACATGAATCCGTAATCCCATCAACAGAAAGATAAACTTCTGAGGGATCAAAGCTCCAGCCATCAGGAGGCACAACCTAAGCAAACAATGATAAAATGAATAAAAACACTTTTCAGTCATGTTAATAATTATATGAAATAATGAAAATTACTGACTTTTAATATATACTCTCCCTTATCATACAATGGTAAAAAATAATAACCATTATTAGGCGCACATTCTGTGTGATCCTTAAGACTGCCTTGTTTAGTAAATCTAAAAATAGAATACAAAATTGTTTTATTCTACATTACCTAAATAGTAAATAAATATATTAAAAATTAAATACAATAATAGTTCAAAGGTGTCGCTCCAATATGGTGGCTGGAGACAAAATCATACAGTGCACGGAACTCAGAAAAATACTGAAGAGTATTGACTATATACATCAAATGACAGTCGAGTCTTCACTATCCAGAATGTTCAGATTATGTTAGCTCATGCAAAATTTAAAGTTAACAGAGATTTAACATCATTAGCTACTAAAAGTATTATATTTTTTATTAGATCAGGATTACCGATTTCTGTAAAACAAAAGGTAGTAAAACATGAAGCCCCTGATGGAGGAGGAAATGCCCCAAAGTGTTCAATATATAGGAATCAGTTATAGGAATCAAATAAGAATGTTAAATAGCAACAAATAATATTTACGGAAATAATCTTAAGATAGAATCCTTCGTAGCACTGTACAAATCCGTATACCTTCGTAGCACTGTACAAATGTCATTCCACCTTGGCTGGTGGATCAAGGACTTTTGTTGAAGGTATACATGAGAATTCAAGAATAGCCCACGACAGAGGTGTCCAAAGTGTAGCTTCTCCCTACCGATATTTTTCAGTTAAAATTGGAGCATTAATTACCTTTAATTACATTGTTGCTTTTAACTCCCATTAGCTACACTAACTGTAAGGGCATTAACAGCCCCCCAACAGTTCCTTTTCAGTGAAGCTCAGGATCTTACCAAATGATGCGGTCACTTCCGTCTACTTTTGAACACACTCGGTCAATCTCAGAACTCCATTATATAGCACACAAACAATCTTGGCTCACTGGACAAGGTGGAGTGACATTTGTACAGAGGTACCAAATCCTTTTCAGTTCATCATCAAAAACCTTCTTTTCATCAGTTCTAAGGAAGAACTGTGGTTCGGTCACTTCTATATAATTTCAAAATTTTATCTAGTTTAATTAATATGAACTTGGGCCCAGTCATCATCTTTAAGTAACATTTCACACTCTTGAATACTTGTAGAATCAAAGATAATGCAATTATTACAATTATACTGAATGATTATTAAACTTATATAAGGCACTATTAAGAAAACTGAATTTGACAATATTCAGAATTTCACATGAAACATCCACATTTCAATTAATCATATCAATTTTAATGAATGTAATAACCAAAGAAATTATTTTACTAATTTATGGAGCTATTGCAAACAAAACCTCGCGCGGGCTCATTACCGCGTATGGGGAGCGTCCCACGGGTGGCGGATGTGGGGATGGTCGGTGGAAATTCCTTGGAAGTTCCTCCCGGCTAAGTCCGATGGACTCGCTGACCAACAATGAGAGGGGCCCTCCAGACTTGCTGGAGGGAGGGGACCTCCAGACTTGCTGGAGGTAGGGGCCCACCAGACTTGCTGGAGGGTGTGACGTAGGATTGAACGCCCTACTCACATATCTTTAGTTCACCAAACACCACAAAAAGTCATGGATCTCCCTAAGGTAAAACGCTCATTATCCGGAAGTAAACTAGTCCCCCGTTCGGGTCTCCGGGTGGGGACTGCTTTAGGGGATTCATGGCGCAAGTTGAAATATAGGGATTTAAATATTGGTATGTGGAACGTAAGGAGTTTAAACACAGCAGGGGGGCTAAAATCGGTCGGGAATGAGGTAAATGGGTACAATTTGGATGTTGTGGCTCTGCAAGAGGTTCGTTGGCCAGGGGAGGGCTCGATGAGGGAAGGGAAGTACACTATTTGGTACGGAGGAAGCGGGAATCATTGTTTAGGTACCGGGTTTCTAATTAGGCGTAGATTACTATCCGCTTTGAGGGACGTACAATTCTTTAGTGATAGAATTTCGGTAGCTACATTTCAGGGACGTTGGTTTAAAATCGCATTAATAAACATACATTGTCCGACCGAAGACAGTGACGATGAAGTCAAAAGTGAATTTTACGATAAACTCGAATGGGTTTATGATAAACTACCACGAAACTACATGAAAATAATTGTAGGTGACGCGAACGCAAAGATAGGAAGGGAAGAAGTTTATATTCCGACGATTGGTAAAGAAAGTTTGCACGAATATAGTAATGATAATGGGATCCGTCTGATAAACTTTGCCATCTCGAAAAACCTGATAATTAAAAGTACGACGTTTAAACACAAGGATATTCATAAATATACTTGGACATCGCCGGATTCGCAAACACGAAATCAAATCGATCATGTCTTGATACAACATAGCTGGCAAAGCAGTATAATTAATGTACGGTCTTATCGCGGAGCAGAATGTGGGTCGGATCATGAATTAGTAATCGCGAAACTTCGACAAAAACTTAATATAAAAAAGAGAAAAGAAAACCGTTTCGATTTTGAGAATTTTAATTTGGAAAAATTAAAAAACCCATTAATTAGAAACCAATTCGAGCTAGATGTTAAGAATAGGTTTGAAGCTTTAGAGCTTCCTGACGAGGACCACGAGGATATTGACAAGTTATGGATAGAGATCAGGGATAATATTAAAGCGGTCGGTAACTCGTGTCTAGGAAAAAAGGAAAATAAGAATAACAAACCGTGGTTTGATGAAGATTGCTTAAACATGTGTGAAAAAAGAAAAGCCGCTAAATTAAAAGCTCTAAATAATCCTAGCGAAGACAATCTGGAATACTTCCGAATCTCAAAGAACGAAACGACAAAATTGCTCAAAACTAAAAAAAGGGAGTATCTTAAAAATAAAATAATTGAAATAGAAACTAATAGAATCGAAAATAACATAAGAGACATGTACAAAGGTATAAACAGATCACGTAAATATGTAGGGCCCGTAACGTCTGGAATTAGGGATGATAATAACAATATTCTGACCGATCCGGTTGACATATTGAATAAGTTTAAGGACCACTTTGACAATATTTTAAATACGGGAAATTATGATCTGTGTCCTCCTTCTGAGTACCAGAGTGCTGAACCGTTAATAGAAGGACCAAGTAAAGAGGAAGTGGAAGTAGCTATCGGAAAATTAAAATCATATAAAGCAGCGGGAATCGATAATATTCCTACTGAACTAATTAAGGCATGTGGGGAAGCTGGAGTTTCTAAAATACATCGGTTGGTTAAAAAGATCTGGGTGAACGAGAAATTACCTGAAGAATGGAAAGAATCTATTCTTATTCCGATTCACAAAAAGGGTCCGAGGACGGATTGTAATAACTATCGAGGAATTTCACTCCTTCCGGTATGTTATAAAATATTCACTTCAATCTTAACCAGTCGAATCACGGAATACGCCGAGGAAATTATCGGAGACTACCAATGCGGATTTAGACGGAATCGTTCGACAATTCATCAAATATTTTCTTTACGGCAAATATTAGAGAAAAAGTTGGAGTATAACGGTATTGTTCACCAGCTGTATATAGATTTTAAAAAGGCTTACGATTATATTGACCGCCAGAAACTGTATAATATTCTAATCGAGCAGGGGATTCCAAAAAAACTAGTAAATCTAGTCAGGATGTGCTTGACGGAGACACTCAATAAAGTTAGAATCGGTAATAATTTGTCCGAAAAATTTGAGGTTCGTTCGGGCTTAAAACAGGGGGATTCTCTTTCGCCTGTCCTGTTCAATTTGGCATTAGAACATGCCATTAGGGAGGTAATGCGAACCGAGAAAGGGTTGGATCTGGGCGGGACAACATCCGTGCTGGGCTATGCTGATGATCTGGTACTGTTAAGCGAAGACGTTGAAACTATAAAACTAAATACGACAACGTTAATGAAAGCCGGTAAAGAACTAGGACTCGAAATAAACGTGGATAAAACAAAATATATGGTTAGTTGCAAAAATGGCGATACTACTGGTGATATCGATATAGATGGTAATATGTTTGAACAGGTAAATAAATTTAGGTATCTAGGTTCTACGATAACTAGAAAAAACGAAATTGAAGAAGAGATTAAGGTTAGACTGAAGGCGGGGAATGCTTGTTATTTTTCTGTGACAAAACTACTTAGTTCGCGCCTCTTGTCCCGAAACTTAAAGATTAGAATCTATAAAACAATTATCTTGCCTATAGTTCTTTATGGATGCGAAACTTGGCCGCTTACATTAAGGGATGAGCAGCGTCTTAAGGTTTTTGAAAATAAAATATTGCGTAGAATATTCGGACCGAAGAAGGATGAGTTAACCGGAGAGTTCAGACGGTTACACAACGCCGAATTGCGTGAGCTGTATCCGGATAATATAATTGAGGTAATTTCATCGCGGCGAATCAAATGGGCTTGTAAAGTTGTTGGGCTTAGTAACGACAGAATTCCTAAAAGGTTAATATTTGCTGTGCCGAATGGTAAGCGTCCGAGGGGTAGACCGAAGCGAAGGTGGGAAGATTGCATTAAAGCCGACCTGAAGGGACTGGGTTTGGACGGCGAACGGTGGAGGGAGGTGTGTAACAAGCGATTGGTGGTGTCGGCATCGAACCTTCGGGTTCGCTAAGCCTTATTATTATTATTATTGCAAACAAAAAGAATAAAGCAAAATAATACTCAGACCTCTTCTAAATAAAACTATAATTAACTTGAGAAATTATTTAAGAAATGATTTGTTTAAACTTAATTATGTAAAAACATGCTAAGAACAAGGTGAAACTTACAATTTAACTTCTACCTCTGAGAAACTGATAGGTAAATCACTTTTAATAAAGCCATTACAGCCTAATACATCATCGGCCTTTATTCTATAAAATATTTGCGGAAAAACTAGTAATAATAAATAGTACTGCATTTTATTTAAAACTAAGTCAACAAGATACTCGTTATCATTCTTGAATATGTTAACACTGGAGAAGGTTATGTATTACACCCTGATATCCTCCTATGACATAACAATGGAATTGGAAAAATATGATTTATATTAACCAAAAAAAATCTATAGTTATTTTACATTTTATTATTTACATATAATTTTTTTTTAATATTATTACTGTTTCATTATTTATAATAATTTAACGATATTATTCATTTTGGTTGATACAAGCCGTTATTTTTAAGTACTCGGTTCTAATGTTCCTGTTACGTTATGTAATATGTTACAATTAGATTATTAGAATTCTCAAAATGAAAATTTAACTGATGCCACAATAAGTTCTAAATAATACATTTTTTTTCAAAGATTTAGGAAATTTAAAAAAATAACAATACCCAATTATTTTATCATTATGAGAAAACCTCATTAATCACTGTCGTCCCATAGGTGCTTAAGAAAAAATAATTTTTCAATCAAAATTAAATTAATTGATTTTCATAATGTGTCGTTAATTATAAATATACATATATACGACTTTATTACAACACTATAAGGTCATATATCATAGCCTATTAAAAAATATAACAGTTTAATATATTGTTGGTATTAGTAAAAAAGAGCGAATTTTACAAATCGAGTATTTTTGGATTTTCAGAATTTCGAACATACTGAAGCAAAATTGGACGAAGTCCTAATTTAACTTATATTAACATAATAATTTTTGGTAAACAAAAAAATCATTTTTTAAAGCAACTGACCTCGAAACAACTTGTTTGAGTTAATTGCTTGTGGATTGTGGATAAAGCTCATGTTAATTGTTAATATAATTTCTATTAACATTAAAAACTTTTAGAAGATATGTATCATTCTGGTTATATCATAGCTATAAATAAATAAATATATTTATTTATCGCGATAGAGGCCAATGATGGACCACACTTATATCACTTTTAGGTCTTTATCTTTTTTGCTCATATTATTTTCATTGTTTCTCCTACTTCCTTCCTTCTCTCCTTTGTCCATATATATATATATATATATATATATATTTACTATTACGCCAAATGAGTGTATATTTCGCAAACAAAATTAGTCACAATATACGCATTTTCTTAAAGGATCCGAGATAATTCTTGTTTTTTAAGTACCGAATATTATGGGATTTTGTAACATTGGAGATATTTTTATTATCATACATAAAATTAAAACAGCGTGGAAAGAATTTGTTAGTATGTGGCTAAAACCATATTAATATAAACGCCACGATTTGCGTTTAAAATATTCTTTACAAATATTTGGTGCAAATTACTTTTCTAAACGTTAACCAGTTAAATGATGCCATCATTAAACATTTTGTTAAAATTAGCGAGAGATAAAAGCAATCTCACAGGGAAAAAGTTCTTTTTCTTCCTTCTTAGATAAAAAGGATTTTTCCTGTGCAGTTCCAGTTACTTTAACTAGAATCCATAATGAATCCTGACATTTTTTGATGAACTGGGTAAAAATCAGAGAACCACTAGCTATGCACAGTTGACTTTCTTAAGGTTATATAGTACCATAAAGCTACTACAAAAATGAAGGAAATTGTATTTATTTATTAATACAAGTGAACATCAAGATCAAATACTATTTAGTCCATATATATTTTTAAAGAAATGTGAGTATATCTAGAAATTATAGATTTCTTCCGATTCTGTATTTTTTCACTTCACTAATTTCTACATTATATTTTTGTAAAAAACATTTTAATCGTCTTAATTTTCTCTGTATTAATTTTTTTAGTAATGTTACGTCATCCTCTGGTGCTAATTCGAGTACTCTTTCTTTGTTGTATTTTTTACATCTAAGAAGCATGTGACGTGAGTCTTTAAGTGCTTTAAAAACTTCGCGATTTTCGTCCGTTTCAATTTTCATAATGTTACGAAATTTCTTCGTTATTAGCCCCGCAGCCTTATTATTTGTACAATATTTTCTCGCTTGAGTCTCCGTTTCCTAGTTAACCTTGGGATAAGACTCACAGTTGGCTGTACCCACTAACGGATCCAGGATTTAATTTTGGGGGATTTCAGTCCGAAAGTTTTTTTTTTTTTTGTATATATTACGATAGGTACTCCGGAAGAAAGAAAGAAACTAAGTACCTACCTATATGAAATGGTGTTTAAGTGATTCTTTAAGTCATATTAATTGTAATTAGACGTACTATAATACTTTTAGAGATCATTTTTTTCATAAAACATGGTTATATTTTTTCATTTGGGGAAGGGGGCTTCAGCTCAAAAGCCCCCTCCCTCCTGCCCGTAGATTCGCCTGTGGCTGTTATTTGTTATTCCCAGTCATACCTATCTTTCCATCCCTTTATTACTTCTTCCTTTAGCAATCTTAAGAGATTATTCATTGGTACTTTGGTTTTCTCTTTCACAGTTTGTTTCCTCCCTGCACATCCAGGATTAAATTTTTTTTTGGGGAGGATTCTTCTGCCGGATAGGTTTTTTTTTTCATATATATATATAATGATAATTACTTTGGAAAAAAAAATTAAACTAACTAACGAATGAAATGGTGTTTAAGTGATATTTGAAGAACTATTAATGTTATGGAATTTCCGGAACAATAATACTTTAAGAGATAATGTTTTAATATTTTTTTTCAGGAAACCGTGTTACATTTTACCATTTTGGAGGAGAGGGGGGGGCTTCAGTTCAAAAGCCCTTACCCTCTCTCTATTACTACATAGTAATAATCAAAGATAGGTAACTTATCCTTTAAAATAATTGATCCTTCTGTTAATCTGAATATTATTCGATACATATATATATATATATATATATATATATATATATATATATATATATATATATATATATATATATATATATATATATATATATATATATATATATATATACAATATGCAGAACCCCACAAGTTCATATGGTTTACATGTTTTTTTCATCCAAATCCATAACTGTTCCGCTGGAGGATGAGTAATAAAAAATAGCGAATATGTAATTTTTACTATATAAGTATATTTTAACAACCACTTGAAGATCCTCCGATGTAAAAATGCCGAAAACATCATTACTTTATAAAGCTGTCTTGTCAAATAGCTCATCTTAAATTTAATGAATTATTTTATTTACTCTTTATACAGAATGCCGAAGATATATAAAATTAATCTGTATATAAAAAAAAAACATCTGGTTTGGTGTGCGCACTTTTACATACCATTCTACCTTAAATAGAAATAAGTGTTTTCATAGGTAGGGAATTAAAAATTATCATATATATTTAAAATAATTAATTACAAAACATTCAAGAAAATATAAATTAAAGGAAATAAACGAATGTTAAGAAATAATTGCTTGCTAATAGATAATTTTTTTTAAAAATGTTGAAATTAATAATATGTAAAAGAGGTTCTTTTGTAAAAATTCTGAGATTTATAGTAAACAAATAGAAATATTATTTTAAAAAAGTATGAGTAGACTTCTAACATTCATTACTTTATAGACAAAACTTTTGAAACTTCTACATTTAAATCTTGTTAGAGAACATCAATGAAAATAAGATCTACGTTAAATTTAAATAGTTAATTATTTAAAATAAAAAAAGTAAAAGTACTTTAACAATAATAATAATAATGTGCACGATTTATTCTGAGACAAGTCCGTTTAGAACAATTCAAAATAATACAATTGTGAGCTTTAGAACCAATCAAAGTTTTTAAGTAAGAAATTTTGAAAATCGACATTTAAGTCTTGTTAGAGAGCATCCATGTGAATAAGACCTAACTTAAATTAAAAAAAAAATTAATAGTACTACCTAAATAGTTCAATCAAAATAGTTGGAGCAATTTTCAAGAAAATTGTAAAAATGTGTAAACTCGAAGATATAATGTGCCACATCCGGTTTGCTGATTTAGATGAATAAGTTGCTGTAATATCTCAGGCATATACAAACCTTAGTTACGTAATTTCAATTTCGTAGGACTTTTCATTTTTATGCTAAACTGTTCACACACACACTCCATATAGCGAAATTTGGTTATTTTAACTCAAAACGTATATTTCTGTCGAAAACGCGATTCGATTTTTTTCATGATCGAAATACACTTCCCTACAATATATATTTCATAAAAACGTAAGTGAAAGTAAGAACTCTCCGTTGATAGTAATTCTGGTTTCGTAACTGTCAGATTGTTTTCAGATTAATCAAATATTACAAAACATTATCAAAAGTTCAATAATTTATTTACTAACAATATAACTAGTTAAATAATTTCTTGGCCTAAGAAATGGTTTGTGATCATGAAATAGATAATTCTTTTAGATTATATCAAACACTATTTTATATTTTCAAATAAAAATTTTTCTGATAATGTTTTTAGAGAAGTTCAAAATATTAGTGCCAGGAATGGGCGGAAGAAGTCCCTCGAACTATTGCTGTTAATATAGTAGGGTTATTTCAGTAATCGGTTATCAGACAGAGCAGTTAACGTGGGGTATTAGGTTATTTAAATGGTTATGTTATTTTCGGCGCATCCTCAATATACAGTTTGTAAGTTGATAAGATAATATCAGCTGTTTTCAAGCTGTCACTACTAGTTTTTATTTTTATTTCCTAATGCAATTATTTTCTTGATAGATTATTATGGTTAAGTTCTTCCAGGTTGTGTTGTTAGTTACATAAGGTTATAGACCATGCACTTTTCTATTCCTGATACTCAAGAGTGTACTGAAGATAATGGAACAGCATATACTGTAAGTTAACCTGATGTATGAAACCCACATAATGTGTTGTTAAATGATTTTGACAATTAAACTTTTCCTTGTCTGTTTGTGTTGAAGGGCTACAATATACATATCAATGGTGAATATCATTGTACAGTGCGGTACAAACAACTTCATAATTTACATGAACAATTGAAGAAATATCATGATTCCGATGATTTTCCAGTATTTCCCCCTAAGAAATTTTGGCCCCTCACAGTGGCTCAAATTGAAGAGCGCAGATATCTGTTGGAAAAATATATTCAAACTGGTAATTTTTTTATCATGTATTTTTGCAATCAAGTTAGCAATACCATTAAGTGATTTAAAAGAGTTTTGTCATGCAAAATGACAAAATTGAATTAAGTAATTTTCGTTATATTGTTTAGTTGGACAGAATCCTCTGATATTGAATGCCGAATTATTCAATGCTTTTCTCCTCACTGCTCAGCAAGAATCTTCTGGGACACCTGCTCACGATGTTATTTTAAATGTTTTTCTTATGAATGGTTACAAAGTTGAAGTTGATGCTAGCTCAAATGAACGAACGTACTCAGTTCTAGAAGTACATACTATAAATCATTAAAGTTCTGTATAAGTGAAAAATTATTTTTATTTATTAATGTTTTTTATTTTTTAGAAAGTATGCAATCAAATAAATTTACCCAGCATGTATGTTTATTATTTTTCATTATTCTTAATTCAAAGAGAAGAAAATGGTGACTTAGTTAGTAAGTTGGATTTTATTTGTTTATGTATTTATTTTTTCAATGTGTTTCAATGATATATTAATTTTTGTATTTAAAAATTATAGTTATTCGAAAACTGCAAGATTTCGAATCTCCATACATATCTCAAAAAAATATAAAAGGCAATCATAGAATTATGTTGAGGAAAAGGTGAGGTTTCATTAATTAATATAACCCAGTTAGCACACTAGTCTGTTTTCTATGGGTTCATAATTTAATTACATAAATAATCATTTTGAAGCATTTGTCAGGAATCTGTAAAACTATTTTCTATTTTAAATTGGATTATTATTCTACTTTTTATTCCATATTTTTTGCAGTTATTGGGATATTGATTATGATTTAGAATTAATGCTAGATTCCGCAGCACTCAATGTAATATATGTACAAACCATTTCTGACATCGAAAGAGGATGGATTGTGTGTAATAGAGGAGTAAGAGAACAATTGGCTACACTACAAGCCAGGGGAGCAAAGAAAGAGGTTCTTATTTAAAGTGTTTTTTATATTTATCAGTTCTACATGACTGCTTTGAAATGTTTATTTCATAACATTTAATATTTCTAATTTGTTTATAAGTAATATTCTCATTTTCATTTAATAATTATATACTCTCCGTTATGTGCTGCCAATGTTAAAGTGAAATTCGTTTATTATATTTTTGTATTTTATTTATAATAATACTCTCCATTAATGTTTATTTAGTTAGTAAATGTAATGGTGTTAAATTTTTATTTAATTCCTTTTCTAACATACATCATTTTGTATTCACGCTTCTCATACTTTTCTAAGTATTTTCATATGCATAATTAGTTTCAACGAAACTGCAATCTAATTGTCTTTTATGTATATTTTTAAAAATATTTAATAGCTGTTTATTTCCAGTGAATTATAAATATTATAATACATTAAAATTTTTAAATACTAAACAGATACATGAAAAGACTAATAAGGATGTAGTTATGTATAAAGTGATTTGTGTTTAAAAATCAAAAAGTCAAAAGATGTAAAAGTAAATAGTAGAAGTTTGAAGGTTGTCATTGAAAATTCGTATCATATAGAATCAAACTAAAATGCTAGCTTTCAAAATAAAACTGAAGATAACAAAATGCTTACATTCTAAAGCTTCTTATGCATGTTTTTTCTTGATTTTTTTTTTTAATGGGGGAACTATTACCACTAGCAACATTTTTTTTATTTTTCAATCGATGAAACTCTATTAAATGATATTTATATATTTTTAAACAATTATATCGTAATATATTGCTGTATATAGTTAATATATTTTTACATTTTAATTATCTTTTTTTACATTATTTTTTATGCTATTGTTTGATTTGTTTTAGTATATAGAGTTAGCTAGGACTCTTAAATATTATGGCTACATTCAGTTCAAACCGTGTGTATGTGATTACCCAGTTCCGGGTTCAAAAGTCATAATTAGTGCTGGAGATAAGGAGCTGAATCTTAGAGTAGAAATTCCTGGTGGTGAAATCAAGGAGGGCTCTTTTAAAGTGACCAGGATGCGATGCTGGAGGATAACAACCCATAATGTAATTTTCCTTTCTATATTTCATTTAAATAAATATTTATCCTTTTATATATGTGTTTCTTAACATAATAACTGTAGTTTATTATAAATAACATAACATCTATTATATATTTCAAGTTCTACTCTAATAAATAATTTACTGACTAATTAGTTATTATTGTATTCTCTTTTATTTTATTGTCCCCATCATTGATAGTTTTAATTTTTTGATAAATAGTTAATATGGCTTAGAAATTGTGATGTTATTTGTTTCATTCTTTATCTGCCCTCTGGATACTTTGACCTATGCTACAACTATAACACTAAAGCAATTTATTTTTAAATAATATTTTATATAATCTTTTTATGTATTGGTCATTGAAACTCATGAATATTATATTCAGAGATGTTTATATTTTTTTAAAGTATATTTTCATTTATAAAATGCAACAGCTTTCTTTAAATCTCAAATAAACTGGTGTACCTTCTGATTTAAATAGAGTAAATGCACCCGTAGCTGATATACTTCAGGAAATTTCTTTGAAGTTTTACGAGTAAAAACTTAAATATTGATGTTATTGTATTTTCCTTACTTCTCACCTTACCAAGATACATTTCAAATCCATGAAACATCCATCTAAATTTTTTTAAAGTTGTAAATTGAAAAAATAGTTTTTTTGCTACAGTAGCTGACACTGTTTGATTTGAAATGTTCCTATAGTTAGTTGAAAGAGATGAGAATAAGGGTGTAATTGTGTGAAATCAAGTATATAAATTTCATATTATTTATTTTAAAATAGATATTTACAAAAATTATCTGTAATTTATTATAAAACTAACTTTTTTTCGTTTCTTGACTTAAATTTATCAATAATTGCTGGTCGTTGTCAAGAACCTGTTTTTGGCTACAGGATAACCTATTTTTGCTATTTATATTTATATACCTATTTATATTTAATCCAAATCGCTCTTTGAATTTATGGAAGTACAGACCTGCCAGCTACTGGCGAAAGGCTCTAGTACTTGACACCCATTAAATTTCCAATTCCTTCATCAAGGTAAATTAAAAATATATAAAACATAATCTTAAAACATTCCAAGGAAAAATGAAACAAAAATTTTGGAATAGATCAAAGTAATTAAAGAGAATAAACCAAATCTAAGGTATGGTGTTCTCACTGATAGATGGTTGTTCCTATGACACTAAATAGACCGTGAGGGACTTCCGTAATTTGACACGCATTATTTCGGTTACGGTTTCTGGCAAGCCTAAAGAAAAGCTGACAATCATTCAAGGAGAAAATATGAAACCAAAAAGAAATATCTATAAGGTCCAAAATCTTATTTTTTCCATTTTTCGAAGAGGATGTCAGGCATTGGTCCACTCAGCTATTGGTGCTTTTTCATGGTTGCTCATAAAATTCTGAATGACTACAGTGCAGATAATCCACAAAATGGATATTTTCCTGTTTATTTGGAGCCCTTGATAGTTTTAGATAGCATACGATTCATCTTATAGAATACTTATAACTAAATAATTGACTTAACTAAATTAAATTAGAATATGTAAACTTTTTTTGTAAATTAAACCCTAATTCCTTTTTGTATATATGCTTTTATTTTATTATTGACTACAATACCATATATAAAAAAAATCAATCAAATTTTTATTGTTTATTTTATTTATATTTTCAGGATATAATTGACAATGGTGAAGAGACCGTCCTTCGTAAGGATCCTGTGATGGATCTTTCATTTGAATATCTAATGGCAAAAGAAAAATTACAATGGATTACTGTTACTAGCGAGCAAGCTATTTTGATGTCGGTTTGCCTCCAGTCGATCGTGGATGAACTGATGCTGAAGAAAACTGGAGCAAGAATGAAGGAGGTAAAATGGGACTTTATAATATTTAAAATAAAGTATAATACAATCATCTTTGGTGTAGCTGGCAAATTTAACTACAAAATTGTAAGAGCAACTGAAAGTAATATTTGTTTCTGAGATGATGGGGAGAACATTACAATAAAAAGAAATAGGAAATTAAATTTACCAACTACACCAGGGATATAAGGAATTCCTAAACCCAAGAAAAAGTTATTATCTTTGTTTTTGACCCTAGCATAAATGTTCTGTAAGTAAATTTCTTTCTATAAAAAGTTTTATATGTCTATTTCTGATAATTTCCAATCCTATTATTCAGGTTGAGTACTTATATTAATTACTGAATTAACTTGATATTGATTGGTTGATAGTACCGTCTATAATATATGTTTGTCACTTAATAAAATCCAAAAATATCGATAAACATGATTTGAAAAATAGAAATTTTAGTGTCTAAAATTGATGTATTTTCATTATTCTGGAAATCTATAAGTTTAGTGTTGTAACATAATTTATTATTATCTATATAATCCTTCAAAAATTTGGGAGAACATTCTGTTGATTAAATCCTTCATGTATGATTATATTCAAACTCTTTTTTAAAAAATAAATTATTCTAATCATGATTAGAAAAGTTTATTTTTTTAGTAATTATTGATATTGCTTATTCATCATGTTCATAAAATTTAAATCTTCATTGTGCATTAACATGTATTTTTGTTAATAGCCACATGACTACAGAGGAGGTACATTCTGCTACATGAAACGAGATGGCAGCAGCCTTATCATTACTGTCAGTCAATCAAGTTCAACTGATACTCTTTCCAGCACCTCGGTAATTTATTTTTTATCTTATTATTATTATTATTTTATTTTATTTGTCAATACTTTTACAAAAGGTTTTTTGTTTACTTGAGAGGGGGAGAATCAACTCCAACCATCTCAGGTATGTTCAATTTTAATTTCTATTGAATGTTGTGAAAGCTTCTTACAATTCTGGCAGTATTCAGCAGCACCGCTTTCTGAGCTTCCTTTATTACATGAGTTGGGAGGCCCAGCCTGTCAGTAGCTTACAGTAGACACTGGTATCAGGCCATTGCTGCAGATCAAAACGCCCCTAACAGTTACTTTATTAAGTTTATACAAACTTTTTAACTCAGCTGCTAGACCTTGATATTTCCATTTTTTTTCTGCACAGACTGAGTTAATGTTTCCGTCATTTGGCACAGCAATATCTATAATTTCAGCCACCTTACTATTGTCGTCAATTAACACAATATCAGGTCTGTTGATTCCAATATAATTTTTAGCCATCTTTCTGGCAAATACCTTTAGGGCAGTATTTATAGTAGGGCACTTATTATTATTATTATTATTATTAAACTAATAAACCTTGTTATTAATCGAAGATTGATAATAAAATTTTCAAGCCATTTTATTTCCTTTAAACCTGATTTATCAAGATAACAATATTCATTCAGTTGATATAAAATTTTTATGTTTTCAGAATGGAACAAGCAGATCTCCTCTCAGAAGTGAACCAACTATTTCTATGAGAAAGCTGTCTGAAAAACTCAGCAGCCTTACTGGAAAATCCAGTAAGAGCCAACCTTTAGTTGAAAACGATGCATTTGAAGGAATTGGAGACGATGATTTATAGTACAATTTTTTACATTATTTAAAATATTTCCTCAAAGATATATTTTTATTGGTGCTAATATGTGGATTGTGAACTGGCAGCAATCAACGTATAAAAGTGTATATATAAATATTATTATCATAATATTATTATTATTGAAATCAAGATTATAACAATCAATTTTAAGTATTTTTGAAAATTTTCAAAAATTGTTTTTGAAAATTAAATTTTGTAATATGTACCTATATATATTTTGAAACTAACTGCCCAATATACATATGTTGATTAATTCTTCGAAGGAAAAGGTTTCTTAGTTGAAATAATTGTTTTAACTATTCAATTTAAGATAACTATTTAAACTATTAGGTGAAAAAACATACGTCATTGTACCTGTTTGATGTTAACGTGGTAACATATATTATTGTGATTTATATTTATAGATATAAATTGTCCATCTAGATCTTACTCTGTATAATACTCTTAAAGGTTCCAATACTTCAATGGATGCAAGTGCGAAATAGGGTATTTATTGTAATGGTTGTCTAAACCGAAATTCCTGATTGTTCCTAATACTTTTTGTAGATTATAGTAGTTCCTATAACTGTGGGCTGTTAAATAATTAATTTTTTCTTTCTAAGAATCTTCCTCTATGAAAGTTATTTGTCGAAACAGGCGTTCATTATTATGATCTCTCTCTCATGTTCTTTTATTAATTTTCATTCTTTAAAATTTATTTATTATATCATGGGCTACAATAAATCCATAACTGTTCCATATCATCCCTAGAATGGACTAAAGTGGTTGAATCTTGAAGTAAATGTTTCTTTCCATCTTTTTGTTCTCGAAGGAATATAAATTTTACTTTCATTTCCTCTTATATACAAATAAGTTAAAAATTGTTTTGGTCAGAATTCTCTTAATTTGATTAATCGAGTTAATTAAACTATTATTTAACATTAATTTTTATAAGGCATGTTTATTTCTGTTTGTGATTTTTCTTGTGATATTCATACTCTTCGTTCACCTTTTATCATAAGTTGTAATTAAGTAGCCTCTTGAAGTAAAGGAAAGCAATCTGGTCTTGGTAATAGAGTTTAAATGACTTTATACACACACTTTTTGCTCTTTCTTACAGAAAAAATAAGATCTCAGAACAAAAAAAAATATTACATTGAACATTTTAAATAATAAAAACAATTGATTATTGTTTATAGAGCCTCTGAATCTTTATTACTCACTTTTATTACTTCATTCCACCTCAAATAGCAGTCCATGATTGTCAACGACATTTTACATATTTTTTTTTATGAATTCTTTCCAATGGAATGGTGATCATTCTCTTCTCTTTAGCTATTCAAGTCAAAAACAAAGAACACTTTTTTTTTTAGAGAACTCTGAGCTCTTCAATCTGCGAGTTCTCTTTTCCATGATAATTGTTAGTAAAATTGACAAAAGCCTGAATTCTTCATTTTTTCTATTGTATCCTTGTTCTGTTCATTAATGTCTTATGGGGCCCAATTCTCAATACTATATTTTTACCTTTTCACACTTATTTGCCTTTTAGTCAATTTAATTAATATTTTTTTTTTTAAACTTATTTATTGAAAAATATTACAATCTGTCTCTAGGACATTTATAATAGAGTTCACAGATCACATTCACACTCTATGTACAATAAATAAAACAAATTATACAGAAAAATAATATATATACAATAAATAAGAATAAAATAACCTAAAAACAAATAAATAAAAAGAACACATACACACTTATATACAATATTTACAATTTGGCAAGAGAACTCCTAACCAAACTTGTCCCTCCAACTGTGGAGGGAAAAGTATGACTCCAGGAGTTCCCTGCACTCCTCTATAAACCGCGTCAGTAGGGCTAAACCCAGTGGAGAGTTAATTAATAATTAAAATAAAATAAAATAATTAAATTAGTTTTTGATCACTATTTATTATTGTACGTTTCGGGGAATCCCTGTCCCCCCTCTTCAGCAATATTGTTTGCTGCTAAAATTAGGTAAGTCGCAGAATTTAATAAGCTTGGTCGATGGCTATTATCCAACGTTTAAATTCAATTAACTTTTAAAAAAAGTTATTTTTTTTGTTGGATAATGACCAAAAGGCAAATAAGTGTGAAAAGATATTTAGAATTAAGATCAAAATTGAAAGATAAAAAATCGAGTATACTATATTTTTAAGTAACGTTAATATGGATCTTAGGTTTATATGTTGTTTTGTTAATGATTGTTTCATAAGATGCACTTAAACGGTCCATCCTTGCCATACATATATCAATAAAAAGTTTTTATTAAACCATTGCAAAAGTTCGTATGTTTCAATTTTTTGATGAGGCCAAGGATATTTTTTTTTTTATTTCATTCTGATGGAGCGTCGTACTATGCTTTGACAGTAAGGATGTTTTTATGCTTGGACAACAGGGTATTATAAAAAAGGAGCCATGTTGATAATTATTTCTTAAATGAAAAAAAAAAATTTTGACAGTTCTTTGTGTCATATTCGTTCACTGTGCATCCATTGTTGTCAATACCTTTATTCTTTAAATTTTAAGAAAAGGACTTTAGAAACTATGTGCCAATCTCTCTTTATATTTTTTATTTTTAATATGAATTTTCTTTTTATATAATTTTTTTTCAAATAAATAATTGAATGTAATTTTTTTACACTTTATATCAATCAATCGATATTTTTACAATATTGTTAAAAAGTGGAGTACAATATCTATACTGTTTAATGTGATAATCAGTTATGAAAATGTTATCTATTAGTAATAATTTTTTTAATGACAATATAAATTTGGATATGAGAAATCTATATGTTATTGTTCTTATTCTTATTGTTTATTTTTGTTTATATTATTTCATCTATGCTTGTTTACAATGCTCTCTATAAATGTTAAAACTCAGGTTTATTAGGACTGAATTTAATGAATACATATAATTGCAGAACTTTTCAGGCAATAATGTTATTCTTCCATATCGCATTCCATTTTTAAAACTTGGAATCACTACAAAGTGTTGTCCATTTTATAAATTGTTTAAATCTAGTTTTTAATACAAATATTATATTGATATAATTTTGTTTTAATATTGACCCATTTTAATTTCCTATTTGTCCACAAACTTCCTTGTATCATTCCACAACACGTCAGGCAGCAACAGCCATTATTAGTCTTCAATTAAAGAACCTCTTGAGAAACCTCAATCCTAAAATACTGCTGTCAGTTAAAGAATTTTTATATACTTATTTTTTTCAGGAAAAAGATGGTCCAAAAAAAAAATAAAAAAAATAGTTTCATAATAGGTAATTGGTTGACTGTCGTGGATAATGAAGAGAAGAATAGTTGGGGTGCTCAGTCAAAAAAGGAAGGCAAAAATAAATTATAATATTTATTTTTTACATCTGCGGACGTTTCGACCTGAAGTTCAGGCCATCATCAGGGCTTTCTCCTAAAGTGTCAAAGTGAGAATGTGAAAAAAAATAGTTATACTATTTTATCAAGCCGACATTTTGACCCAACTATGCAGATCTTCATAAGGCCTAGAAAAAAAACAAAATATAAAGGCTATAGACAACTTTTTTTTTTTAACATGTTTATTGAGAGAAATTACAATCTGTTACAATTAAGGACATTTATAAAAATGTTCTGAGAGTACATTCACACTCTATGTACAATAAATAAAACAGAAAAACAATAATACTAAAATTAAATGTATACAAAACTAATAAAAATGACTACCCAGAAACACACATGCTTCTATACAATATCTAAAAAAAATAAAATTCATTCACTCAAGATCTCCGAGCCACGCCTTTCTCCCCATTCGTGACAGAAAAGCAGGAATCTAGAAGATCCCAGCGCCTCTCACTCAGCCGCAATACAGGTAGAAAACTATAAGAATAACTAAATATTTAGGTAAAAATTAAGAAATTAATCAACACCATAAATAAAAATTATTAAAACATTGAAATATAAACAGAGTAAATGAAGTATTAAGAGCATTCAAGTATAAAACCAAGTACTTTACCTTTGTATGTTCTTAATACTTTTTATTTACTCTGTTAATAATTTGTTATCTAAATATCTTGTTACTCTTACAGTTATCTATAATCTTTGTTTCTTGTTCATTCTATACCTGATGAGAAGACCTGCATAGTTGGGTCGAAATGTTGACTTAATAAAATAGTGTGACTATTTTTATTTTAGTTTTTTGTTTTGTTTTTATGACTGTCACCCCAGACCATATCTTTCCTCAGTACTCTATGGTCAACTAGTCAACATACAAGGAGAGATTATCCTGAAGTTAACTAACCTATTTTAATCTAAGTGAGATGATTAAAGATACATTCTCTGGGTCCATCATAAAATAAATTTCAACCCTCTCCCTCCCAGGCTTAACCAGTAAACAGCAGAGTTCCATAAATGTTGAGCAATTGTAAAAAAGATTTTAAGATTGTTCAATAAGTTATTTTTCACATTATTTTAAAAATTTCATGTAAAGTTTTTTTTGGGACATTTCGCCTCTCCACTAATTATATATAAATCAGTAATATACTTTGGGACTTTGAATGCTGCATATAATTCGAAGTTGACAGACAATGTTCATAAACCATGGCCACCTCTATCATCAGATTTGACATATTTAGAGTTTTTGTTTGGTATTAATTCAAATTGACTGTGTTTTCATTAAGAATTAACAATCAAGATACATTAAAATATCTCATAATTCAACCTTGTGGTCAGCATCTGAGCTAAACTATAACACAATGATTTGTTAAAGAGTTTAGCGACATTTAAAATATATATCATTTTAATGATGTAGAGATGGTTGACTGTTGATATAATATGAGAAGGAGTTAGTCGAGGGTGCGGTCAAATAAATAAAAAATTAAAATATGTTAATTATTTTAATTTTTGCCGGCGTTTCGACCGACTTACATGCTATATTCTCCTTTATTTTTATTTTTATTCCTACTTTTTCCATTTATTTGTATCTTCTACATATATAATTCTTAATATTTAACTACATTGCCACCCACTATATATCTGATACCATCGTTTATTTCTGTATCTGACAACTTCTTCTTATTTTATATATACTTATATATATTTTTTTTCAACATGTTTTGTATCTTTTGTAGCCCTGAAGACGACCTGCAAAGTGGGTCGAAACGTCTGCAAAAATTAAAATAATTAACATATTTTAATTTTTTATTTATTTGACCACACCCTCGACTAACTCCTTCTCATATATCATTTTATTTTATTTTTTAAATATAACTACATAATTTTATGTTGTTTTCTTTAATTTTTATAGAAAAAAAGATATGGCATAGATAAAATATAAGCATAAGATTCATATATATAATATGCAAATTCGCATGGTGTATGTAAACTTTTACAGATAAACTCCTCCTGCATAAGATTAATATGCAAGAGAAAAAAAACAAAAAATTAAAAATAAAATATAACTACATATATATATATATATATATATATATATATATATATATATATATATCTGTTATGTAGTTATATTTTATTTTTAATTTTTTGTTTTTTTTCTCTTGCATAGTAATCTTATATATATATATATATATATATATATATATATATATATATATATATATAGAGAGAGAGAGAGAGAGAGAGAGAGAGAGAATAGAATAGAAAATAATTTTATTCTGGGACGAAGTCCCTTTAGAATAACAAAAAAGTACAAAATTAAAATGTTATATCTGGCCGAATAAAAACAAACATAAAAAGTAAAGATCCAGATAAATAAGTAAAGAAAATATTAGTTGTACATGCTGTATACAAAATAAATTAAAAAAATCTATATACAAAACACTCGAAACCTTGCCAAGACATTTAAGATTACGTACAATGGTAAAATATAAATATACACTTGTTGGTCTGTGTTAATAATTCACACAGTATATTAGTCAGTGAACAATAGACAATATAACATAGAAATAAATATGATAATATTAGGTAGACTATGTAATTATAATTGAAGTAAGAAAAATCATCCTTCTTTTTACAGTCTCATTTATTTTATATTTTGGAACTTTTGGTGCTCTACACCATATTCATCTAAACATTTTTTAAAAAAGAGTACATATATACATTAAAATTGCTAATTGTCACACAGAACCTCACCTTATTTCCACATACCTTTACAATGTTCATTCCATACATTTTTGGATTTTGTTCTTTAAATATATTTTTTCGATCATTGCAGATTGATGACTTAATTTAAAAAAAAATTGTTTGGGATTTTCCATCTGTGCGTCAAAAAGTAAAAAAAATGTTTTTTTAATGTTTTTTTATGAAACATGTTAAAATAGGAAATCGCTGTGTTATAATTCAGTCTATTGTAAGTTATCAGAATTAAGAATTTATTTATAATATAAATGAGAGGAGATAGGACCCCTACTGTACTTCACGTTCTCGTTTATTGTCATACTCTGGCCTTTGAACATGTGTTCAATCATTAATTATCAAATCCCCCACCCCAAAGCCACTGTAACCCCACACCACCGTTAAAGGGAATTTAATAATCTATCAAATAATGATGGATCAACAAAAAATGTATATTTTTTTAGTTATTTGCAAATAAAGTTTCTCTTCCTTCATAACTTTTTTTCCTAAAATTTTGAGATGTGACTATAGCCAAATATCAACCTGATCCTAGGCGAATGTTTGAAAGTAAATACAGAAAGGGTATGTTATTCTAAGTAAAATGAACCTTGTCTGCCATTCAAAAGCTGCTGCTTTAAAAAATGGCGACTAATAAAGAATAATAGGCCAGTAACTTAAGGACCAAAATTAAAAATATATTGCAAAAAATGTGGAAAAAGTTGTTATTTTTTTAACTTCATATGCTACAATGCACTATTTGGTAGTTATATGTGAAAAAAAAGATCGAAAAAATATGGCTTTCAATCTTACAAATAATCATGAGTACAATCGAAAAATACATGTATAGTTTTTGAGCTATTCCCAAATAAAGATTCTTTTCCTTCATAACTTTTTTTCCTAAAGTTTCGAGGGGTTGTGACTATGATTCATCACTTTTTCATGAAATTATCTTTTGTTTGATTGATATCTCATTCATTAAAATCCATAGTTATCAAAAATTTTGTGATTTAAAAAAAAATCTAATATACCTACCTACCTTGGTGAAAAATTGTAGCAAAAAAGTTTCATTTTTTTATTGCTATGAGAATTTGAATTTGAGTGTTTTTCTAGGCGGGAAATACAAATCTACTCATCTGTCAACCCTGTTTCTCCTTTAAAAAAAAATATTTGAACCTACTTTGCTACTTCGGTCACTACAAATTGTTTTAGAAGTACAAATTTCTAATTGATTTTGATTGTTTTATTTTGTTTTGTAATCTTTCACGGGTATGATCAACAAAAAAAAAATGTATACTTTTTGAGTTATTCCCTCATAAAATTTCTTTTTTTTTTTTAATAATTATTTTTCCTACAATTTCGAGAGAATGTGACTATGATATGTGACTTCTCCAAGAAATTCTCTTCCTTTTGATACCTCATTTATCAAAACCCATCATTCCTGAGTGCTGGGAAAGTTTCCAAAATGTTTACAATTTCCAAAAAAAAAAAAAAATAAAGCTGTAGCCTTGCTGGTATCTCCAGTTCTAGTTTGTTTGCAGGGATCTGGCTTGAGTCATTTTGTATACATAGTGGCCCTAAATTCCTGCTAATTTTCATGTGGATAGGTGGAGTCATGTTGAATTTATCAAACTTTTTGAAAAAAAATCCAAAGGCCTGAAGTGAAAATTTTTAATTTCTAATTAAATTATAAATTAAAAAAAAAAGTTGTGGAGCATAAAATGGAGAAATGTATTAAAATAAATGTAAGGCATAAACTAATTAACTAAAGATGGAAAGAAGGTGAATAGATTTATGAAGAAGGTGAACAAATAAAAACTCCTTTTCTAATAATTCTTCAATTAATTAAGTACATTTTTTTTTATTCCCTCCTTTAGGTTCAAATTTCTTATTATTTATGTTGAAGCTGCATTTGGATTAGCCAAATAAAAACTGTATCCTTGTAGTAAAATAAATAACTAAAACAAAATATGCTGCTAATAATATGTGAAATGGATAGGAAATAAAAATCATATACATTTTACTTAACTTTTATTAATTATTATTATACAGTTAATGTAGAAATATTGACATTTTTTTTTTTTTTTTTTTGAATTTATCAGATGTTATTAACATGTAGACTTTTTTTGATAAAATTTCTGAATACAAACCATAATTACCTATACACTCATTACAAATATACATTTTTCAAAATATCTTTTGCGTCCAAAGTGAACTACTAATTATTTAATCATTTAAACAAGAAAAAAATGTTTTAGCTTTACACAGATAAAGAGAGGCGTATTCAGCACTAATGCCTAGTGGAAAAAAAAAATATCCATTATATATTTTACAATAAATTTTACAGCTCACTTACATATTGTATTCAAAAGCATTATTAGAAGTACAATCTTCAATTATATAATAGATTTATAATATTGCATATACAAAAATTATCATTTATTACCATAAAAATATTTATTTTTAAACATTTATATAATTGTTAATCTGCCAGCTACAGTATGTAGAAGTAATAGAAAACAGTAAAACTAACATTATTGTTTAAAGCTTTAATTTTATTCTTTAATTAAAACTTTTTCGCTTTAAAAAATGTTGGTTACATCGATCTCATTCCTCCACTGTTAATATCACATACTTTTCCGAAATATATATATTTATCATTTGATAATATAAAACACCTATCTGGCTATTGTATATGAGCAGCTTACAATTTATTAGGTGTACATTTCTTTAAATAATATCTCCACTTAATCCTTTTGTGTACAGGCACTATAAACATTGGGCTATACGTGCATATCAGTCAGATTTTACATTCGGCTCGGAAAAAAAGTTCAGGCGTGCAAACCGCTTCAATCCGCACTCATTTACTTCTTATGTTTTTAAAGTAACATGAAGTAAAATGAATTGAAATTGTAGAAAGTAGCTCTAGTTTAAGCTTGGTGATTATGATGGCAGTCAACTTATATTTATTGAATTTATGTGAAAGAAAGCTTATTATCTCCTTTTTTTTTTTTCTTTTTTGGTTGTTTTTTGTGTTATATATATATATTTTTTTAATAACTAGGTGAATTCTTTGGTTTATTCATACTTTTTGACTAAACTTTAGATCAATAAAATTTCAACTTATCAATTTCTAATCTATAATATTCTCTTTAATTATGTAGTTAAGCACTGTTCGAGTTTACTTCTTCATTGTTTCATGTTGGCTTGGTCTGAAAAAAAAAAAAGTATAATTATTATTATAATTTTTTTAAACATATAAATTTAGTGAGATGAAAAGTAAAAAACAATTGAAAACTAGATTATATATTTAAAAACAATTGCTTCAAAAATTTAATTTTCAGCAGACTTCAAGAGTTCATTTTACTATGAAGGAGGTGTAGTTGCTAAAAAATTAATTTAAATTTGATTGAATGGAACTTCCCAAGAAATTCAAAAGATATTGAGTACTTGCATGATTTCCAATTGTTGCCCAACAGTGAAGATTAGGTTATAACAATAAAAATGCAAATAGTCTCAAATTTATCTGATGCATATTTGCAATGATAATCAGTGTTAAAGAAAAGTGATGAGGATGGAGCTAAGTCACAAATGCTGAGACATGGCTACAGCATGTTCTGTCAGTTGCTAGCTCGTACTGTTGGAGTGTATTATAATTTTTAGCTTAGAATAGTGTTTCCAGCTTCAATACTTCTATCTAAGAAATATCTTTCCATTTTTTTTTCAGTCATCCAGTCAAATATAAATAAAAATATTTAGTTTAAAATGTATTTTATTAGCTTTTATAAATTCATATTTATAAAACAAAACTGAGGTAGGTATGAGAGTTTCGTGTTTGGTTGTCGTGTGTGTTACATTATAGTAGAATCAGGTCATACCAACAGTCCCCACCACACTTCCCTCATTTCAAGTTTCTTGCTAATAACGAATCTTTTTTAATTATTTAAAAAGGTACAATCTCACTCTTCTATGGCTACTGTTCGAGCAAAAAGGTTTTATGTAAAATTTGAGTTTTTTTACAGAAGGGTATAAAAACCGATTACTTCTTGATGATTTATTACTGTAATTTCATATTCTATTTTCCTCTGTTATTTTCCTATTAGCATAATAGTTATAGCAGTTGCAGATTATAAAATGTCACCTTTATCGCAAAGAGAATAAGTATGTAAAAGTTACAAACAACCTTTTGAATTAACAATAGCAATATATGTTTTTTATTGCTTGAATTCTATTCCAGCTCAAATTTACATGATTTTTTTCCAACTGACACTGCAAGAATTCTATAAGGCCAAGATGGTTTTGATACAATTCATTTATTCACAATTTCATAATAAAATGAAGGAATATTGCAATAAATATTGATTACGTTACCCTTTTGGCTCCAATGAATACCCATCAGATCCATCAGAATGATCTTCATCATGCTCTATAAAATAAAATTGAATCATTACTCATTCCTATTTAAAACTGATAGTTATTTTATTATATTTTAATGAAGATTGCCAAGCCATTATTCATAACAATAATTATTATAAGAATACCTTCAGTACAATAAACGATGAATTAAGATTGCAGCAGTTGAATATTTGACTGAAATATCAATTGTCCTAACAAAATTATAAAATCTAATATAATAAATTCTAAACTGTATAATTTATCAAACTAATGTACCAGGCTTAATATATGTTTACCATTTTGTACTCTGGATCAGGGGTACCCATCCCCCGCAAGGTCAATGGAGCGTAAACTCCCCCCCTCCTCCCAAGTTATTTCTCTCCTTTTAAAATCAGTGCAAGCTGAAGTAGAATTTTAAAAATCAAAGATCATACACAATTAAATTTTCAGTGGTTTGCTCTTGTCCCCTGATCTGAAACTTTTCATTTTGAAAAATCACATCCCAGTCGAAATGTGCTCCCCTCAAAAATTGTTATGGTGCAGCTTGTGCCATAAAACCCTCTTCTGGACACCCCTGCTCTGGTATGTACTGCACAAGTAAAATTAATCTTTCTAATTTATACGATTCTTTGAATGTAGGTTTTTTTCTTATTAATCTAATTTAATTTTTCATATTAAAGTGATAATCTATCTTTAGATTTTAAAAAATCTGCACTTAGCCATATTTATTTTAATACCCAAATATCAATAATTCTGTAATGTTTCATCTTTAAAACCATAGTAATTCTAAAAATATAATTAGAAATTTTTTTTACTAGTTATAGAGTACTATTGTAAGTCAATTCTGACATGCGACATTCACATTATTAAACAATCTTAAACATTAAACGATCAAGAATTTTTAATATTAGTTACTTTAAAAGTTGGTTAATTGTATAAACATATATTACTGCATACTCAGAGTGTCTACCAGATCTGGAAAAGTATGAGAATGTTGTGAAAAAACACGGTAAAGGAATTTTATAAGGTAAGGGACACAAACTTTTTTATAATACTGATAACTACAAAAGTAAACATATGTCACAACAAACATATTACAGTGTCTTTATTGATTTTTTTGTAATAAATAGTTATTTATTTTTTTTATAATTTTATTCTTAAAACTATTCATTAAGAATAGTTTTAATTCATTAAGAAACCATTTCCATGCCAATAAAGTTAATTTATTTTTTATTTTTTTGCTTCAATGTTTTATTTTTATGTCAAAAAGACATTTATTACATTTTTATTTAAATATTGTAATAATTATATAAAATGATTATTAATAAACATCAGTTAATACAAATTTAGTCAGGAGTTAATTTTTTTTTATTTTATTGCCTTTACTTCAGGACAAAATAAAATAAGTTATATACATTTGAAGTAAATTGAAAACTATCATATAATTTGTCTTTTTTAATTATTGCTTCTTAATATTTTAGAAGGAGTTAGAATCATTCAATAATTAACATATAAGCATATATGTGTCATGTTCTGTTATATTTATTTTTGATGACCTAGAATCTTTTGTAAACAATAAGTGGAAAAACATGGAGAAAAGCGAGGAAATTTCTTAAAGATGTTTTTGGCAGACACCCTGCATACTTAGCTCATTTCGCTGAGTAAACAAGCTAGCTCAGTAGCAATTCACTACACATGCTCAAAATTTCCTTAATGAAATTATGATTATATTAATTTCACAAGCAGAAGTTAATAATTTTTTTTTTATTGGGCTCAAACTTTTATGTTTAACATTTTAACTAAAAAATATCTTATTAAGAATCTATGGCTAAAATTATTACCTAACATGGTTGGAATTCTCATGGACAATTCCAGTATGTTATATCAGCAAACAAGATTATATACCTAATACTATTAATATCATTTTTATTCTGTGAAATATTAATAATATAATGAAGTCCAGGAGATTTGGATTAATTTTAATGCGATAAGGTTTATTAAAGATGTAATAAAATAAAAAAAAATGTATTTACAATCATTTAATAATGTTCTATGGTTCGAAACTGCCAAGATAAAAAAATTGTAAAAAGAACACGACCTTAATTAAAAGTAACTAACCTAAGTGTGTGTGCAGATTAAATCGCCAATCGTGTTCTCTCGGGTCAAACTCTGGTTCCTCATCCACACTTATATCGTATTTAAGCGGAGGCCTTCCACCTAATTCCAGAACAAAGCCAAGCAAACTAAAGCTCACATTCTACTGTCTATTCTCAATTATCCTCCAGAATATTTCTTATATATTTTCATAAATTGCCAACAAAAATAAAAATACTTAGAGGATAATTGAGATAAATGCAGATACTCAAGTGCATATTAGCATGAATATTATGGTTAGCTTAGTACATGCTAACTTAGCCTCTATTAGTAAATACTATAAGCTGTTAGATATCTAATAATGATTACAGTTACTTCATTATTGTTTATATTTAACTAAAATAATTTTAACTAAAGAGTTTCTCATGTATAGTGTGGTATGGTTATAAAATCAATGTAGACTCAATTAATACATAGTAATTCTTTAAAAATTATCATCAGTTGAATAGACATCTTCAAATGTATTTGTTGAAACATACAATTGAAAAGTAAAGCTTTATTCGGAAAATCTGTCATAGCTTGAACCTAAAAGTGCTAATGATTGTGGCATGTTATGATTTTTTTATACATCAATTCCTTCATGCATTTGAACAGCTAAAATCATTCAAATTGATTTTTTTTTCAGTATTATAATTTTCTTTCCATCGATCAAATATTATTCTGATTCATTTATGAACATGCTTCAGGCAATATAAGATAATAAAATAATAACCTCTTTGGTGGCTATCTGTAATTTGTTTCTCTTCCAGTTCACTTTTAATTTTCTCTCCTATAAAATACCAAATTGTGTATTTTAAATCAATAGAAAAGCTCTAATAATATTAGTAAATTAACTAAATATTTATTTATTTAAAAATGTTATTTGTTATTTCAACAAATATTTACTAAAGATCATTTTAATTACATGTACAAATGATGTAAGCAGTAATTCTACCTTGTGATTGCGAGACAGTCCACTGTGATGAATATTGGGCATGAGTTTCAGTAGAGTCAGGAGAGGAACGGTCAGGAAATTGGGATTGAGTCAAGGATTTAAGATAGTCTTCAAGTTCCTCGCCTTTAAGCTCAGCTGTTTTCCCTCCCATTTCATCTGGTCTTATTACAATTCGCTTTTGAACAACTCTTTTTATATGCACATTTCCTGAAGCATCAACATCCCTAGTTTCTGAAATGTCTTCACCAGGATCAAACTTTTCGATGTATTCACGAAGCGCTTTTTCAGCTTCTTGACCCTTAAATGATACTTTAGTTATCTGAGGAGGCATTTCTACAGTCCTGTGAATTATTTGAGAGAATTCATCATCACCTGGTTCAATTACTTCCGTCACAAACGGTTTTCCTTCTTCAAACCAAATTCCAGCTCTCGCCTCCATGCCTTCATCATCCACCATAGTTGTCGAATCTCCAGATGTAAAACTTGATGACATGACAGAATCAGTTTCATATTGATATGTAGCGTGGGTTGCTGTTGAGCTGGTTGGTTCGAGTGAGTCAGTACTACCTAGCATATATTCTGCTCTTGGAGGTGGCATTCGATTAATAGAACCTTCATAACTTTCCTCTTTTCCAGAACCACTCCAATCTACTTCTTTTCCACTAGAACTACTGTAAGCCTGATGTTCCTCTTCATCCAATGAATTGGCCTGAGTTACTTTTTCTTCAAGGGAATCAGTAGAAGTTATCATAGAGCTTTTTTCTCCTATTTCTATGGAATCAGTCATGATTGCTTTCTTTTTTTGGGCAGCTTCTATTGAATCAGTGCTTACTGACATAACGTCTTGGCTGAATTTGATCTCTAGAGAGTCAGTACTTGTAGTAAATGGATCTGCTAAACTGGCTTTTGATATCTGAGTTTTCAGTTCCAATGAGTCTGTACTAGTTAAAAGCTCTTCTCCTATATCCTCCCATTGAGTTATGTATGTCTTTCCACAGTATGTTTTAGTCTGAGTAACTGGTTGATCAAAGTCTAGGTCTGGTACTTTTGTCATTTCCTCCAAGGAATCTGCATGTCCTAAGGATTCTGATTTTATCTTTTTATCTACTTCCTTACCTTTGGCATCCATAAACTGTTCAACATTGGTTTGTGCTTGGCGTATGATTTCATCGATTTCAAACATTCTTTTTTCATAGTCTTCTTCATCTGAATCTCTATTGACACCACTAACTGAAACTGTGACACAACTTTCAGATTCCGAAGCTTGACTTTCATGACCCTCTTCAATTTCAGATAACAGTGATTCCTCTTCAGCTTTAGCCTTCTTTTCAATACGTTCTGCTGCAATACAAGCATTTTCTAAGCCTTCAAATTCTTTTAAGGATGCTATTGATATATCATCACCACCACTCTTACTTCCATGTTTTCTGCTGTTACTCGAACTAGTTAAGGAATCTTGTGATCCAAGGGATTTATGTTTTGTAGATTCAAGGGCTATTAGGTTTTCCAATCTTTCAAACTCCTGTAAAGAACTCATTGAGACATCATCATGCTCCCCAGACCTAGTGAAAAATCTCCTTCCGGCTAGTACATCATAATCTGGTGTGCTGCTCAGTGATTCTTTGACACTTCCGAAACTTCCAATAGAATGACTAACTTGACTTCCCATGCTCCCTATTTTACTACTGCTTTCTAAGTCATTTAAATCTTCTTCTTTAATATCTTCAAGTGGACCCCTTTCAAATTCCATGTCATAGCCATATATCTGTGCAACTGGTTCAACACCTCGAAACTGCATTTCCATCCATTTTTTCCCTGCCTCTACTTCAGGTTTAAAATCATCATCAGCTGCAGATGGTGGAGACCCTTCTTGAGAGGATTCTTCAGTTTTATCTTCCACTCCTTTAGGTGGAGTCCCAGACTCAAATTCAAAAGGCTCTTCTTCTTCCCCACCTTTAGAGTAGTATTTTATCTTTGTCATCTTAGTTGATGTTTTAGGAGGCGATACATCTTTCTCAGGTGGCCTATGGATGTAAGGAATCCTTTTTCCAACTATTTTGACACTCTTACCTTCATTATCTTGTTCTTCTGCTTCCTTACCTACTTCTTCAATTATTACAAATTCATCTGCTAAATCTGGTTTTTCTAGAAGTTCGAATGAGTCACTAGTAGGAGAATCAGAAGCTGATTCAATATCTTTGGATGCATCTTTTTCAAATACAGTTTTTTCATCTGTGGTATGTGATGCGTCATCAATGAAATCATCACTTATAATTGATTTAGAACCTGTTTCAAGGACATATTCTTTTCCAGCTAAACTAGTTTCTGAAGAGGCCCTACTTGAAACAGATTCAGCTACCTGTTGAACTGAGACATCATCAACATCTGGGAATACAAAACTTTCATCTAAAACTGGTGTCATATGTTGTGTCACAGTTATTCCTGGAACTGGAGAAGTACGATCTAATAATTCTTCTTTAAGAGAAAGTTCATGAGTTTCTAATTCATGCTTCTCTGCTATAGGATCTTCATGAATTGTTTCATGTAAGGATGTAAAATGTGGTCCATGGAATGCAGCAGCAGCTTCAGCTTCTGCTAATTCAGCTTCTTCTTGCCAAAGCAAACCCTTCTCTCTAATGGGACTAACATGAGCTTCATATTCACTTGATCGACTGAATGCGCCAGAATATTCCATTTCCAATTCAGTTACACTTGCCTGAGCTTCTGAAGAAAACTCTGGAGTATCATCTTTCAGTTCACATTCTTCTATAGGTTCTGGAGTTTTGGGTCTTTCAATTGGATCTTCAGTAGCATCAGTAGAACATTGTTTTAATAGTTCAGCTAATTCTGAGTCTGGTCTGTCTTCTGAAAATGCAACTGATGACAATCTAGATTTTGCTTCTGATTCTTTAATTTCTTCATATTCGTATGTATCTTTAATAATTACTCTCCCTTCTCTTATATCTCTATGGAACGCTTGATCAGCTTCAGTTTGATAAAATTCATCTTCCAGTTTTTCTGCTTCATCTACATCCTTCTTTTCTTCTTGACTACCCTCTTTAGAAGTTAGGCATTGTGCATATTTATCACTTTCTGCAGTATCTTCTTGTATGTCTTCTGATTTTTTTTCGAATTCATACCCTTGAAATACTGGAATCATAGATGCTCTGAAACTTGTGCTGCCATTTCTACGATGACCAGGACGTTTTTTAACCTCTGTTTCTACTTCATCATATTCAACATTATAGTCTACTTGGGTAGGCCCATTGCTATGAGTAGCTGGTCTTGAAATGTGCTGAACACTCTGCTCCTCAACAGTTACTTTTACTGATTCTTGTTCTCTGATTTGCTGTGAAAGTTCACTTGAAAGGGCTTCAATTTTTGTTTCCTTTGTGCTTTCAGTATCCTTAGATTCAGATAAACTAAGTTGATCTGATGTTCCTGATACTGTCAACAGATCTGATGTAGCAGATCCATCCATTTTTTCAGATTCAGTTCTTGATAGTTCCATTACTGTTCTTTGGGCTATTGAATCACTAACTACACTTCCAGTATCATCAACACTTGAACTTAACTTTTCATCAACTATAGGCCTTGGTTCAGGTTGAAACGTCATTTCATGAGATCTTTTCATGCGCTGTGCTGAATCTTGATGTGGTATATCAACTTCATCTTCAGATATTTCTTCTGTAGATATGTCAAAACTAACTGACTGACCATTTGATTCAGATATGCTTTGTGCCTTCAATGGACTCTCCACCCTATAATGTGGTTGCGGGGTTTTACTTTCCACTTCTTCATTTTCCATCGCAGATGGCACAAGAGTTTCAGAAGCTTCACTAGATACTTCCATACTTGCTAGGTTTCCAGAACTTTCAGAATCCAAAGATTTCATTGAATCTCTGGAGCTAAGGGAACTAACTGCAGTTTGAAAATCTCGGGAAGTTACCGTTGTTGACTGCCCTGAAACTGCTGATTCATATTCAGAAGAACCTGTTATGCCAGCCAAATTAGCAACAAGGCCTTCTATGTCAGATGACAAAGGTCGACTACCAGGAGTTCGTAGGCTTTCTGATGTCTGTTCAAATGAATGATAATGACTCTCCCCTGAACTGGAATATGGATCACTCAAAGCCTCCCCATGCAGTTTACTTACTTTAGATTTAGAATGTTTTCTAATAACAATACTAGGTTTTTCAATACCAACGCTGGTGTCTGAACTAGCTTTAACTTCTGATGATGAAGATGTCGAAAGATCATCTTGAATTGGCGATTTCACTAAATCAGAAGAGTTGTCTTCCTTTTGTTCAGAATCAAAAACTGTTTCTTCAATTCCAAAGTCTGATAGCACATGGTGAACCTCTTCAACTGTACTTTTTTCTGTAAAATGTTTTGTTTCACTTTTAATTAATGTAGAAATCTCGCTTTTTTCTGTTCTTTTCACAATAACTTTTCCATCTTCAGATAAGAATTCACTGGAGTGAACATCAGTTTTCATGTTGCTTTCTTCTACACTAGTTTTACGGTCTTCTTTGTGTTCATGTTCTTGAAACTTCTTATGTTCATCTTTCCCCTCTGAATGTGTACTGTAGTCATATGATTCTGAGGACTTGGTAGTTTTTTTAGATTCTTCAGTTAATTCAGATTTTATGGAAGCAGTATCACTAGCTAGTGTTTTTATTTCTTCAAATTTTTGTAAGCCCGATGTCAACTGTTCCTCACTTTTCAGAGCGAATGCTTGACTTTCTTTGAGAACGGATATACCTTGCTGTATTTCCACCCCTTCTGCTTTTATAGCTGTCTCTTTTGTCAGGCATTGTTGTTCTTGATCAGATTTTTCCTCCATTTTAACTATACTTACATCTGATTGATCATGTTTTATAATAACTTCAGATTTGGTCTCACTTGTGAAAGATTTCTCCAAGTCATCTTTGTCTTTATATGCCACTTGTTTTGGTTTTTCAGAATCGGAAACTACAGTTCCTTCTTCATAATGACTTTCTTTGATTGATTCATTGAATCTGTTTTCAAGAGAAAGAACTTTAAATTCAAACTCTGATGGTGATTCTTTAGTAATACTGTCTTTTTTCTTCTTTTCTTCTTCAATCAATTCTTCTTTTACAGCTTCCAAAGATTCCTTGACTTCAGCCAAAGTTCTTTCTAATACATCTTCTCCAGGAGTTTCTCTACTGAGATCTATGTTTTCTACGTCTTCAGAACTATCACCTTCACTTAAATCATCTTTAAAAACCAGGCATGCTTGGCTTTCAAGAGGAGAAATATCAGATTCTACTCCACTACTACGTAAATCTTCATCAGTTATTTCCATACTGGATGTAGTGGTATCCGTCCTACCAAATTTTACATGAAACGGTCCTTCTTGTTTCAATTGAGAAACTTCTATTTCTCCTAACTTATGTTTTTTATCAAATAATGTAGCCTCCCTTTTGCATATTTCAACTTCTATATCTTCAACTATTTCTTGTGCAAGTACTCTTGCTTCTGATTCAGTTAGAGGTTTTTTTGAGGCACTTAGTAGCATTTCACTGGGAAGTTGTTGGACAGTTTCTTCCTGTAGACTTTCAGTAGTTTCTTGAACTGGAACTTCCCACACAGTATCAGGGAGATGCTCTTCTGGTGTATATATATTTCTAGTTTTCTTGTCTGATTTCATTTCTTGAGTTGCCCAATCTTGTATATCCTGTTGTTCTTTAAAGCGGGTGTCTTCTGGTGTAACATCTGATTCAGAAAATGTATCCTCACTCTCTCCTTGACTAGATGTAACGGATCCTATTTTTTCTTTTTCTGTTGAAAAAGGAGCTTGAAGTTTAGAATCTTCAAACACTTTTAGATCTTCATCTAGTTCTTTTTCAGTTCCTTCTATTTCACTTTTGTCAACATGTACTTCAAGTGAATCGGACGGCTTGCTAATGACTTCATTTTTATATTGAAGTACTTCAGCAACACTACTGCTAATACTGGTGTCAGGACTACTAGTTTGAGCAACTATTGTCTCTGAATCAATTTCCTTTTCTGAAATGAGACGTAGCTCTTTATTTTCTGGAACTAATGAATCTATCTGTTGATCTAGTTCATCACTAAATATATCAGTATGAATTTGCCTAGCTATCATTGCTTGTGTGTCTGTTATTGGCTTGTCACTATTTTGTTCAATACATTTGTGCTCAGGAGAAGATTCTTCTTCAAGTTGTGACATTAGTTGTTCTACAACCATTTCTTTTTTAATTTGTGCTTCAAATATACGTTTCTTTTTGCGAACATTACTAGTATCAGAGGAGGTGTCACAAGGTAACGATACCGATCTTTCAAAAATAGGTTTCTTCTTTATTAAAAGACCAGTGATACTATCAATAGTGTCCTCCATGTCAAAGGCATCGTTGTCATAACTTAATTCATCTTTGTGAGTTTGAATGTATTCAATTTCCGAATCATCCAAACTTTCCTCCTTCGAAATACCACGTGCTACAGACTCCGTAGGAGTGGCTTCTGGGAGAACAGATTTCTTTTCTATTTCCAAAACTTCTCCTTTAGGGGAAGTATCGTAATAGTCAGGTTTTTCCGTAGACGCTGTAATACTTAGGCGAGGTTTAGGTACAGGTGGTTTTTCACATATCAGCTCAGGCTGTTTTTCAACACTTCCATGTGATACTTGTTCCCAGAACATTTTTTTTGATTCATAATTTTGTAATTCTTCTGGTTCTTGGGGAAGGTCTAGGGGAATAGATTGGGAGCGTGGTGAAGGTATGGGTTGGGGTGCCTCTTTTGTTTCTTCTTCCTCCAGTGCTTGGGTTCCTTCTATTAATTGTGCATACACAAAACACACAACAAACTGTTGTTAGTCACATTGTTAGACAAAAAAAAAAATCAAACAAAATTTTTTTAAATTATTTATAAGCAGCATGTTATTTAATTTAATAAGCCAAATAGTAGAAAAAAAAATTAGTCATGCTCACATACAATGCTTGTAAGCGTTATTAATATACCTAGCCTAATTTAAAATAAGACAAATATTAAAACAGGCTATTCACATGTATAACAAATCGTTCTCTAAAAAATGGTTTTACCTTTTTCATAAACATTGTTGAAATTTTTAATAGAAGAATAATTACTATCATTCCCATTGTTACTAATTATGAATTTATGACCAATAAGATTCATATCAGTAGTATTCAAAGATGAAAACTTTCGATTTTCAGTTTTAGGAAACATTAGTGGCCCTCCCCCAAAAAACGTTGTAGGCAATATAGTAGAGAGATTTGTTTTAAAGATGTAATCAAATCCTAGTAAAAATGATAAAAATAATAATAATAAAATAAAAAAAATTAGCTTAAGTAATGATTGAACTATTGGCATTTTAAATATGATTTCTAAGTGCTTGTTATTTGCTACCTCTGAAATCTCTAGTAACTTAGTCTCTACATTACGGGGGAGGGAAAAACAATCTATTATATAAATATCTACTTTAGTAAACATAAGTTAAATAAAATAACATACTGACTGCAAATGTCCCAGTTGCTGTAAATAATTTATAAAATCAACCTCATGACTAAAGATCTCGATTATCTATTTATACTAGAATTAGATAACAGTTTAAAACTACCTAAAACCAAATTATATCACAATTGGCAGCTGCCATAGGTAAACTAGAAAAAGATTGTAAAATACTATCAAAATTGAGGACTTGGCGGTTTACATTTTTTTTTTTTTTTTCAATTTTTAAAGTCAAATACACAATCATAGTTACTCAGGGGAATGATTTATTCATTTTATTTGTCATCCAGTGAGTAAAATGTGTATTAAATAACAAATTGTGAATATCTAAATTGGTGTAAATGAAAAATTACTTAATTTTTCATCATGTCATTCATAAATTCATTGAAGATCATGAATCAGTAGTATGCTTAGGATTATTGTTTGGGTGAGAAAAAAAAGTTAAGCTGATAAATAATTAGTTTCATGAAAGGTTATGGTTATTAATATAGTGTTATACCCAGGATCGAAATTCTGGAACTTTAGAGACGGAAGCCCAAGGTACTGATACTGATAGGGGGAAACTATCCCGACAAACCTAGTGGCCCTTTTTTTCAGCCCATGATGACTACCAAGAGGATGGTGCCCTAACCGGAGTGGGATCATCAACATTCATTTCTAGGGGCTGTTGAGAAATAAGTATTAAGTGACTCAGCTGAGAATTGAAACCATAACATTCTGAACTGAGCACTCTGAAACCCTCACCCCAATGTACTCGGCCACTATAGTTCTTGAAGCACAAGGTTCAAGTGGTGGAAGATAATCCAGTAGGATCAATTGAGATATTGATCTGAAAATGAGTAACTACTCCAAAAGGAAGTGCACTGAGAAAGATTTTTATTGAGGAGTATTTTGGCCAGAATATAAATATGATTTCTTGGCACCAGAGAAAGGATGGTATCACAACGAAATTGAGTGAAGCCAGAAAGAGAAGAATAGAGAGAGAAAGGGGTCATATGAGTGAAGATATGTGATAAATGGTTTTTGATTATGAAAAAAGATATCTTGAATTATCCAATAACTGTCTTGAAAACCTCTCATGTAACTAAGGCCATGGCCTGGACCCTTATGTATGCTTCTGATAAAAATAATAAATCCTATAGCAGTTTAAGAGTAGATGTGAAAGGGATAGATGTTGAAAAAGGTATGCAAACAATAACAACAATTCTTATTGGCATGAAACCTCAATTTGTAGCCTTATCATGTTTGGTCGTTATGCACGTCCGCAAGACTAATAGACGTATTATGACTGAAAATTCTGATTATTTATCATCTGAATAAAACTTCAAAATAGTCAACAAAAATTAATCTTTAACTTATTATTTTTATCATAGGTGTACATAAGGAGACAGTAACCTCCTGACCTGAGTCAGACCAAGACAGATATCTTTGTATAATCAAAACTCGTTTATACAGATATTTTCTCATATTACTTTTTTTTTCTCTTTTCTTCTCTTTCTGGCAACACAGACTTTGGTATATAAGCTGGCAATACCAGCTTAACTTTGATGCTAAGTAATGTTTTTTTTATCTTGCCTCTCATTCTTTATTTTTCAGCACTCTTCCTATTACTTACCCTGTTATACCATTACCTTAACACACCCAGGTAGTTTTGTGCTGTCCAACTGACATCATCCAGCCATATATGAAGTTGTAGAACTGCTGGGTGTAATATTAATTTATAAATTGAGGAAAATCCTCCTCTGTGAAAAATTTCTTAGAGCAATTCCTTTTGCAATAGTCACTCATCTTCAACTTAATTTATCCTTCCAGATTATCTTCCCCCACTTGTCACCTGGTTGAACATAATCTGGTTATCTGTAATCTTGGGTTTGCATATTAATAACCTTAAGCTTTCATGAAAACAATTTTTTATTATCTCAAATGAGATATCCTCTCTCAAAAAATTATAACTATAAAACTGCTGTTTTGTTAGTATAATCTTATACTTTACTATTTTTATATTTTATTTTTTCTAATTAGGCTTTAGCTCTTATTGGAATTTAGTTATTATTTTCTATTTAATGACTAATTGTACCTTGAGGAGATGTTTCATCACTTGGTTCAGTAAGGGACTTTGAATCGAGATCAGAGGGTGTTAAACCTCCTTTGTCCCATAAGTTAAGGGCTTCATCCATTTCTTCCACTGAAAATTGAGATACCATTTTCTGAAATTCACCATCTGACTTTTCCAAATCTGATTCTTTAGTTTCAGATGCCATTCTTTCAAATTTTTTCTCAACTTTGGCTACTTTAACTTTTTCTTCTTCTTCTCGGTCCAATTCTTTTTCATCTTTAAATTTCTTCTTCATTTCTTCCACTGAAAACTGAGATACAATTTTCTGAAATTCTACATCTGACTTTTTCAAATCTAATTCCTTAGTTCCGGATGCCACTGTTTCAAATTTCTTTTCAACTTTAGCTGCTTTAACTTTCTCTTCTCCTTCTCGATCTGATTCTTCGTCATCTCTATAATCACCAGAATCAAACCTGAATTTTACGTTTCTCCTTTTAGGCCGTTCAACTGGCTCAGTTACAAAGTATGGAGTTTCTTCTTCTTCTTCTTCTTCACTAGAATCTTCAGCAAAATCTGTTACTATTCGTACAGTTGGCCGCTCACCTTGTGGTAACCTTTGAGAACCACCAAGTCCTCTTCGGCTCATACTAGGTGTTGTTATAATTGGTTTTGGACTATCCTCTGTATCAGATTCTGTTTCCTCGGAGAGCATATTTGAATTTATCAACTGTGATTCCATCTGTTTTATAATTTGATCAACATTAGTCTGAATGCTTTGCTTAGGCTCATGTATTGAAGTAACATACTCCATACCTTTAATTTCTTCAACTACTGCATGCTTGTATTCAGATGAGAATTCTTTTGGAATTTCTACAGATTTTTGCTGGCATATCTCTTCATTTTGTACTATTACAGTGCTGTCATTAATATTTTGTAAATTAGTAAATTTATTAGAATTATCTTCAGTTTTAGTTAATGTTGGTAGGATATCTTGTTTGTTAATAATATCTTTTTTAGCGATTTCAGTAGAGTCAACAATGGCATCTTCAACATGTGCAATGATTTTATCCTGTTGTAAATCTGAAGTTTGAATTACATCTGTTTTTACTTTATTTTCAGTATTCATTGTGATTCCATTTTGACGAATAACTTCAGTGTGAGTTTCTGATGACTTGCCTTCTACTGATGGTTCAAGACTGCCTGCAATGACAGTTAGATAGACTTATCAATGTAAAACTACTATTATGAATCTAATTAAAAAAAAATACATATAAATATCCTTGTTGCAGTTATAAGAAAACTACCATGAAAATTCTAAAACTTTTTTAATTATAACAGCATAAGTTATAATGTTAGATAAAGTTAGTCACCAAAATCAGAATAAAAACCTTTCAACTCTTTTAAAAAACTCTTTCAATAAAAATACATAACCACATGCAGCCTTACCTTCTTCTAATAAATCTTCATCCGATGTCCATATGCAATATCCAGAATTAACATATCCTAAACCTTTTTTTGGCGTTATGTATTCTATGCTTGAGCTAGGATAAATCAGACCATTCTGGAATGAATCAAATGTTGGAATGGAGAAATGATCAGACATGTTTGGAAGTGATCTATTAATATGACGTCTTCTTAAGAAGCCACCACTGGCTCTTATATCAATGGTGCTTGTTCCAAAGCTTCTTCCAACTTTCAGATTGATTCGAGGCATGTCGAATTCATCACTACTATCACTGGAAGAAGAATATATTTCATCATTATAACTTGGTTTCACATAAGGCACACTTTCATTTTTATGTTTAATTGTTTTCAATATTTCTTCTTCTTCTTTTTCCACTTCCTTTATCAAATTTGAGATTTGATTTTCTATCAAACTTAATGATTGGACTGGATCACTGCTATCAGCAGTAAGAACTAATTTATTTTCATTTTCTAACTTGTTTATTCTGTTAGGAACTAAGCAATCAGAATTATTACGAAAAAACAATTTTTCTTCATTAGAAATTTTTTCAATCATGTTTTCAACTGAGCTTTGAAGATTTATAAGATCTTCAGTATCATCACTAATATCAAGAAAATCCTCTCTTTCTTCTACATGCTGTCGTGTTGATATATATCGTGGTACCTTATCAAGTTGACGACTGATTTTATAAAGTATTCCTGGAGTTTCTGTACCTAGAAGTGAAGGTAAATCTTCATCTGAGGATGATGAAGATGATGAGAAAAAGAGTTCAGAAAACGTCTC